CCAAAAGTGATCTACAAACTCAACACAATCCCTATTAAAATTCCAATGACATTTTTGCAAAAACAGTAAAATCCATTCTAAAATTCATATGGAATCTCAAGGGATTCTGAACAGTCACAACAATCTTAAAAAAAGAATAAAGTTGGAGGTCTCAGACTTCCTGATTTCAAAACTTGCTACAATAATCAAAACAGTGTGGTACTGGCATAAAGACAGACACATAGATCAATGGAATAGAATAGAGAGCCCAGAAATAACCCCTCACATAGATGGCCAAATGATTTTCAACAAGGGTGCCAAGGCCATTCAATGGGGAAAAGACAGACTTCTCAACAAAGGGTGCTGGGAAAACTGGATATCCATAAGCAAAAGGAAGAAGTTGGACCCTCACCGTAAACCATATACAAAAATTAACTCAAACTGGATCAAAGACTCAAATGTAAGAGCTAAACCTATAAAACTCTTAAAAGAAAACACAGGAGGAAAGTTTCATGACACTGGATTTGGCAAAGATTTCTTGGCTATGACACCAAACGCACAGGTAACAAATAAACAAACAGGTAAGTTGGACTCCTTCAGAATTAAAAACTTGTGCATCAAAGAACACTATCAACAGAGTAAAAACGCAATCGACAGAATGGGAAAAATATCTGCAAATCATATATCTAAGGGGTTAGTATCCAGAATACATAAAAAAACTCCTACAACTCAACAACAAAAAACAAACAGCCCAATTAAAAAATGGAAAAAGGACTTAAATAGGCATTTCTCCAAAGAAGATATACGAATGGCCAATAAGCACACAAAAAGATGTTCAACCTCACTAATCATTAGGTGTGAGATAATAGAAAATGTCTATACTGTTCTTTGCCTCTGGCTCCTGGCACAGAGGTCCTCAAACTCTTGTAATTCCCTAATTGATGAGAGCACTACGAGCATCTCACGTTCTAATATTTGGTCTTTAACCCTGTCCCTGACACAGGGTTCCTAAAATCCTTGTAAATTCCTAAGTGATTAAGAGCATTGAGAGCATCTTTTGTTCTAATGAAGTAACTCTGGGTGGGCTCCCAGATGGGGATTGGTCACCAGAATGACCAAACCATGATTAGAAGCTTGGAATGTCCAGCCCCACCCCACCATCCTCCAGAGAGTGGAGAAGGGCTGGAGAGCGAGTTAATTACTGATCATGCCTATGTGATGAAGCCTCCATAGAAACCCCAAAAGTAGGCCATTCAGAGAGCTTCCAGGCGGGTGATCACATCCATGTACCGGGAGGGTGATGCACCCCAAATCCATGGGGACAGAAGCTCCTGCACTCGAGCCCCTCCCAGACCTCTTCATCTGGCTGTTCATCTGTATCCTTTCTCATATCCTTTAATAAACTGGTAAATGTAAGTAACTCTCTTCTTGAGTTCTGTGAGCCACTCTGTAAATTAAGTGAACCCAAGGAAGGGGTCATTGGAACCTCTGATTTATAGCCAATCAGTGAGAAGCACAGAAGCCAACCTGGACTTGCAACTGGCATCTGAAGTGGGATGGGGGCAGTCTTGTGGGACTGAGCCCTTAACCTGTTGGATCTGATGCTATCTCCAGGTAGACGGTGTCAGAACTGAGTTAAATTGTAGGACACCCAGCTGGTGTCACAGAGAATTGCTTATTGTGGGGAAAATCTCCCACATGTTTGGTGACCAGAAGTGTCAGAAGTGAAGCATTCTGTGTGAAAGTAAAGAAGACATACAGGAGAGGAGAATGATAGGTTTTTCCAATACAGTAGGGAAATGCAAATCAAAACCACAATGGAACACCACTTCACACCCATTATGGTGGCTATTATTGAAAAGAAAAGAAAACTCAGAAAATAACAAACATTGGTGAGGATGAAATGAGAACACTTGTGCATTGCTGGTGGGAATGTAAAATGGTGTAGCCACTGTGGAAGATGGTATGGCGGTTCCTCAAAAACTTAAACACAGAATTACCATATGATCTAGCAATTCCATTTCTGGGTATATACCCCAAATAATTGAAAGCAGGGACTCAAACAAACAAACAAATAAAAAAAGTTAACATGGTACTATTGTTATGTATATTTTACTACAATAAAAAAAAAAAAGATAGGATACTAAAACTACCTCTGATGTGTTGTAAGAATTAAGTGAGATCTATGTAGAAAAGCTTTGTAATCTATACGGCCCTTCACTAATAATAGCTCTTTTTTTTTTTGAGGAAGATTAGCCCTGAGCTAACATCTGCTGCCAATCCTCCTCTTTTTGCTGAGGAAGACTCGCCCTGAGCTAACATCCATGCCCATCTTCCTCTACTTTATACGTGGGATGCCCACCACAGCATGGCTTTTGCCAAGCGGTGCCATGTCCGTACCCAGGAGCCAAACCGGCAAACCCCAGGCCACCAAAGCGGAATGTGCACACTTAACTGCTGCACCACCAGGCCTGCCCCAAGCTCTTTTTAATCATTATCACCCTTTTTACTTCAACCTGATACCATTATCCACATGCTCTACCCAGCTATGCTCACCTGGCAGTATACTGTTGGAGTTTAAGTGCTGTCCAGCGATATCCACCTTCATTTTGCTAAATCCTGGATTTCATGTGCCACAGCAACAGTGCCCCAGAGTTCTGGTTCTGAAACAGAACAAGCCTCTAAATAGACATAAGTTTTAGACAAGCCTGGTGGATTCTACGGAAAAAACTCAGAGACTTCCTCCTCTTACTCAGTTTTCCCCAGTGCTTGGTTTGGAAGCAGTCCCCATTCAGCAACAGGAGGTCACAGTGCCATTGCCAAGGACAAGGAAAATCTTTCTCCATTTCAGTTGACCACCTAACTCCCCAGCCTGCTACCAAGCAACGTATCTCATAAGGCATATCTCTTTGAGCAGGTGAACAATCCTGAACCTTCTCTGAAGGAACAGGATTCTGGGAAAGGAAATGAATTCATCGAGCATGAATTGACAACAAAAATAGATAAGCAGCAAAAAATGAAAATCAAAAGATCAGAATGACCAGCTTTGATGGACTGGACAACTCTCTGTAGCCTCAGAGTTGAACCCTCAAAACTTCCCCAAAAGTATAGATATTGCTGCAGAACCAGTGTGATAATGCAGTAGCACAAAACGTAGGAATGGTGTTTCTTTCTGGAAAGTAAGCAAATTAGTACCTACACCCAGATACTGACCAGGGTCTGTGTCAGCATTCAGGTGCTCTCTGAGAGCCCCAAGTTTCCTTAGCTCTTTTAGGCGCCGCTCTTTGAAGATTTCTCCTAATGTGGGTAATGCTACTGTGCCATCTGGAATCTTTTTCATGCAATAATGTCTATCCAGTAGCTGCTGCCTTTCCAGATAGTCCCTGGAGGACCAGTTCATTCCATGACTCTTTGAGGAGCTTTAAATGTGGGTCAAACATGAAGTAGTCCTTATGCAGCCTTGGATATTTGACCTTCTATGGCCAGGAGAAAGAGCCCGAGTCTCTGAGCCCTCACAATCTTGAATGTCCCTGCTTGCTTCCACTTGTACCTTATCCAAGATTCTTAATGTCATCAACAAGACTGGATAAGAACTCAGGACTTTTCCACAAAACTTTCTGCCACTGCCCCACAAATCCTAAATGTGGTTTCCCAAATTCTCTGATTCGCCTAATGTACCCTTTCTCTTCTGCTCAAAGCCCCCAAATAACACGTACTCTATATATTTAGTCCCATTTGTGTAGAAATGCATCTTTCCCAGTTTTCCCCCTACCTCTTCATCCTGCACCTATATCATTGTTAACTGAGGCTCAGTCATCACACATACCTACAACAGCATCAAACGTCCCACCTTCTGCCTTCATTTCTTCATAACCCAGAGGCAAAAGAAATGTGTCACTCTGGAATTGTCGCAGTCAAAGGAAGACTCGTGGACAAGAGGAACTTAGGCAGGGGTCACTAGCACACGGCCTACACATGGAACACAAATGTTAAAAAGCAAAAGCTTAGGAAACATCCCTTGCACACATCTCCTCTTTTATAACCAGTACAATAAAGTTGGTCGATGAAGTGACAGAACCAACAAATCCATTCTCCACGGATGGCTGACGGCAGCAGAACAAGTCCCTGGCTACGCGCCTCAGCCTACTCTTGGCTGGTTCATTACTATAAGCCATTGACCCACCATCACCAGGTCACACGCTCTAAGTTCTTTTCCCGAACTGGTAATAAAACATGTTGAGCTCTCCATATTCTCTTAGTTATACGAGAAGGCAGAAGATCCAGCAGTTAAGCATTCAGTCTCTGGAGCCAAAGCAACCTGAGTTCAAATTACGCTTGAGCCGCTTGTTGCGCACCACCGGTCAGCGATGGTTTCTGGATACCCTGCCTGCCACCGTCCTGCGCCAACCCCTCACCGCTACCACCACCACCACCACCAAGCCCACGGGTCCCAGGGCTACGCGAGGGCAGCCAGGGGGCTGTGCTCCCTTTACCTCCCCATCTCCTCGGGCACGCGGGCGCCTTGACGTCGAGCGCCCCTCATCCCGTCCGCGGCCGCGACTCTCTCTGAGCAGCTCACGCCGCCCGCTCGCAGCTTCTACAAAACGCGAAGGCGCCGCCGCCGGGGCCCGCCGGAGTTTTTCCCCCGACAGGGCGGCAAGGAAAGGAAAGGACCGGTTGTTAGCAAATGACTTTCCGTTACCAGGGTAAAGCGCTACCGCCATCTTTATTGAGGTCGACGATGACCTGCGTTGGCCTAAGCAAAAATGAATGAGGAATTCGACAGACTCCAGTCCGCCCGATGCGGCTGGAAACGGAGGCGCAGCCGAGCCGGCACAGGGTGAGGGCTCTGCCGAACAGCACGCGCGCCGGCCGCGGACGGAAGGACGCCGGGGGCGGGGCCGGCGGCCGCCCGGCCCAGCGCTTCCGGCTCCCGCGCCGTACGGAAGCGTATTGGACGCTGCACTCGCGCGCCGTACGGAAGTGTGTTCTGGCGCACCGGAAGCCGCCGGAAGAGAGCGATGGCGGGTTTGACTGCGAGGGACCCTGCGGTGGATCGTTCTCTGCGTTCGGTGTTCGGTGAGAGGAGCTCGGTGGAGCCAAGCGTCGGGGAGGGACAGAAGGAGACGGGGAATGACGAGGCATGCCCTCTGCACCTCGTGAATCGCCGCGGGAGCCGGTGAAGGGTCGGGCGTGCAGCCTTACCTGCCTGTCCTGTGGGGCGGCCAGCCTGGTGGGCTCGTGGGCAAAGTGATGCTCCTGTAATCCCGAGGTTCCGCAGCCTTTCCACCATGTGGCCGAGGAAGTTAAACTAGCGTTCAGCTTCCATGCGTTTCCCCTTTCGTGAGCTTTAATTATTATCTCGAAGCGAGGGCACATGGCACCTGTCCCGTACTACTTCTCACTCCCTATCCCAGAATACAGATTGTGTGCTGAGGGTATAGATCCTTGTGCCCGCTTCCCGCCCTCTCATAAGGACTTCCATTCTCTGCTTTTTACCCCTAACATTTTAGTTCGTCGATAGCGGTAGCGGCCAGCTGGCATTTTAAGGTGGATTGTCAATAAATGAATGAGTGAACGACTAAGACTTCGTCAAGGAAATTTTAAAGAGGATCGAATCTATCCTGAGTAACCTTTTCAGCCGAAAAAATTTTTTTTAAAGTACATGTGGTGATTTAAAAGCACCTTTTGGAAGGGACATGACAAAACGGTTCAGAATAATTTTTAAACATCCTCCACTACATTCATGGTCATTCTCCTTTGAGTGTATGTATGTGTGGAAATATGTACATATGAGCCGGTTTTAGAAGTTATAATGTTGATATCTTTAGTTGTTATTGGTAAGACTTGCAGACCTTCAGGTAAATACCAAGCCTAACTATTTATTTTCGCCAAAGTTAAGGAAAATCTAACACTTGTCAGGTCAGTCTGAGAACTGATATTCAGGAGTGCCTACACCTTTTGTATTTAGTCTTAGTGGTTTATTTCTCTTGTAATTAAAGTTAGCAGGCAAGATTGGAATCTTGTCTAAGGGAGTACCACTGAACTGGAACTGGAAAAACAGTATTTTGAGCCAGTTGTTACCTTGTTAATGATATAAGTAGACACGGTGTACTTTCTCACTAAAATCTAGGTTATAAACTCAGAACTAAATATGTTATCTGTTTTCTTCCTTAGTGGGGAACATTCCATATGAGGCTACTGAAGAGCAGTTAAAGGACATCTTTTCTGAGGTTGGACCTGTTGTTAGTTTCAGGTGAGATTCCCTTTTACTACTTGGTGAAAGTTTCTTAAAAATTCCCACAAATTGGGCCTTTAGTAATAGTGGCAAGGTTTTTACTGGTGACTTTACACATGCATTCTTTTTTGTTTGTCTGTAACAGCTTTATGGAGATATAATTCACATACCATACAATTCACATTTAATTTTACTGAAAGACAGATTTTTTTTCATTTAAAAAATATTTCAGGCAGAGTGATAAGGTTATTTGTCTTACAGTCAAGCAAATCAGAACATGGCAATGTTAGCAGGAACCCTGTGCGTATGTAACATTTGTGCCTGATGCTTGGTTTTGCTCTCCAGATTGGTATATGATAGGGAGACAGGAAAGCCAAAGGGTTATGGCTTCTGTGAATACCAAGACCAAGAGACGGCTCTTAGTGCCATGCGAAACCTGAATGGGCGTGAATTCAGCGGGAGAGCACTTCGAGTGGACAATGCTGCCAGTGAAAAGAACAAAGAAGAACTAAAGAGTGAGTGGAAACAGGCGTATGTAACATGAGTAAAGATGTAACAATGAAGATTTTCCGTTTATGATATGTTTTAGCGTTTGCTGAAACGATTAGCCACACACTTTACTTGACCCACCTGAAGTGCCTGCATTAGGACCTTGTATATCTTTGAGAAACAAGGTAAAATTGACTTTAGAGAGTTGACTGAGACGTCCTTCAGTTGCCAAGAAGTTGATTTCCAGTTAAAGATGAATTCAGGCTCACCAAGCCGTTAGTAGTGTTATCAATGTCATCAGTGTTTGCCATTCCTATAACTGTGTTGCCAGATCTGTAAATATTGGGGCTACTAAGGCATTCTTATGGCTTTTTTCATGAGGTAGTAGATCCAAGAATTCCATTTAGAAATCAGCATCCTTTTCTATTTAAACTGTTTGCTTAATGACTTGTCAAAGGAAATCGATATGCCTTATTCCTAATTTAGGTTAACATGGTCCGCGTACGTGATCCTGGTCCAGCTTTCCTCTGAGAGTGGAAAATACACTCTGTCACTTTCCTCCACAGAAATAGGAGATCTGCAAATCGCTTAATTCTCAGCTCTAGAGAATTTAAAGTTATCAGCAGGTCCTTACAGGAGCCCTGGAAAATAGATACTTGAAATGATTTAGCTCTTTCTTTTGTCTCCTTAACCTTTTTGTACTTTCTTCCTGATCAGGCCTTGGCACTGGTGCCCCTGTCATTGAATCACCCTATGGAGAGACCATCAGTCCTGAGGATGCCCCTGAGTCCATTAGCAAAGCAGTTGCCAGTCTTCCACCAGAGCAGATGTTTGAGCTGATGAAACAAATGAAGGTGGGAGGAGGCATTAGGTTACGAATAAATCAAATCACATTAGATTTTCAAGGAGTTAATAAAGTTAATGAAAATGATTCTCTGAGCTCAAATAGAAGGTGTGCCTATTGACCACCTTTTCTTGCACCTTCAATATTCCATATGTGCACAGTGTATTTCACATTTCCTGCAAAGGGCTTTCCATTTTTGTACACCAACACACCTACACAATCTGGCTGGGGTTTTGTGGCCCATAGACATCAGATGTAAATATTAATTGTGGCTTTTTCCCTAAATGATGGTATTTGAAATGCCTTTTCCTTCTCTTGCCTGCCATGACCAAGATTTTGTGTGCTATTCAAAAACATGATAGCTTAAAAAGCCTCTTGAATATTACACTTCTCAGATGAGAATGGCTCGAAATCACTATTAATTTGTAAGTAATAATATTGAATCTGATGATGAATCTGTTTATCTTCTCAGCTCTGTGTTCAGAACAGTCCCCAGGAAGCACGGAACATGTTACTTCAGAACCCTCAACTGGCTTATGCTTTGCTACAAGCACAGGTAGTGATGAGAATTGTGGATCCAGAGATTGCCCTGGTGAGTGTTTCTGGTTCTTTTATGGAAATGCTAGGGTAGACCTTGATTGGGGTAGAAACTACCTGCTTGCTTTGTTAAACAGACAGCTCATGGATTTGTCTTTTCACTTTCTAGAAAATTCTGCATCGCCAGACAAATATCCCAACGCTGATTGCTGGCAACCCTCAGCCAGTCCACAGCACTGGGCCTGGCTCAGGATCCAATGTGTCAATGAACCAGCAGAATCCTCAGGCCCCTCAAGCCCAGTCTTTGGTAGGGCTTTATCCCTTAACATTTGTTCTATCTGTCTTAGAATGTTGTTTTCATTTTAGGAGGATATATTGAAAGAGGAATGGTCAGGAGCCAGAGATGATAATTTCAATTTCCAGGCATAAAAGCAATTTCCAGGTTGCAGAGTACATGGCATCTGAATGAATATAGATTCAGTGCCAAGTCTGTTAAACTAAAAGATCTTTCCTGTATGCCCTTTTTTTAAAGCTGATTTTGTGTATATTGCATGCGTGACACTGTGGTTGGCACTTCCTTATTCCATATACCTTATCTCATTTAATTCTTAGAGCAGTTGTATAAAGTTGGCACTCTTATTCTTACCAATCAAAAAGTAAAGCTCACTTTCTAAGAATGACACAAAACCCTGAAGCTATAAAAAATTGATACATTTGAAAACTGAACGATTTCTGTGTGGAGAAAAAGAAATAAACACCAAAGGCAAATGACAAATTGGGGAAAAGTATTTGCCACACATGTGATGGACAACAGGCTGATTACTTAAGAGCCCTTAAGTTGTGTTCAAGAATGTTTATTGTCACATTACAATAGTGAAAAGTTGGAAACATCCTAAATGTACATCAATGGAAGAATGGAGAAAATGTGGTATATTTATCTAATGAAATAGTCTACAACAGTTAAATAAACTACATACGTCACCATGAATGGCTTTCAAAAACATAATTCCGTATAGCAGTTAAGGCAAACTAGGATACATGGTATCAACACAGATAACTCAAAAACACAATACCATGCAGAAGTGGAAATAAGTGAGTGTGGAAGCATTCCCAAAGTATGGGCTATATGTCTGCATATATCCCCAAAACATGTTGAGTGAGTTGCAAAGAATATGTTCAGTATGTAATGATTTACATAAAATTTCAAAACATCTATAAGAATTCTCAAATGCTTGTCTAAGAAGAACGGATGCAATTGGGGAAGACCATACGGGAGATTCCAATTGTATATTTGATTTATTTCCTAAGCTGTATGGTTATTTTATTCTCTATATAATCTGGAATTTTTCATAATAAGCAAGACCTGTAAATTAGTAAGAAAATTACAAATAACCTAGTAGAAAAGTATGCAGTGGACATAGTTCACAACAGTGGAAATGCAAGTATATATTAAATGTGTGAAAAAGTGTTCAACCTCAAAATAAGCTAAATGTAAACAGGAAGTATAATAGGCTACCATTTTTTGCCTGTCAGATGGGCAGAGGTAAACAACTTGGATGGGTCATACAAAGGATTAGAGCAGAGGTCCACAAACATCTTCAATAAATGGCCAGAAAGTAAATATTTTTGGCTTTGCAGACTGTGGGATCTGTTTTAACTATTCAACTCTGCCGTTGGGATGTGGAATCGGGCAGAGATAATACATAAACAAATGTGTGTGGTTGTGTTAAAATAGAACTTTACTTATGAAACCAGGCAGTGAGCCAGCTTTGGCCCAGGGGCCATAGTTTGCCAACCCCTACTCTGATTCAATAAATACTTTTTCAGAAATAGAAAGGAAATAAACTAAGGCCCCAAGCAATTAACTGGTCCAAAAAGAACACAGTTCTAAGTGGCAAATCCAGGATACGAACCTGGTTCTGTCTGACTTCAGCCTGTTTTCTCTTAACCACCTTACTATACAGTTTCCTCTTTTCTGTTTTAGAATTTTGTATGTTCTCTGAGAGTTAATGTGGGTTTTTTTTATAACTGAGCTTTTATTCTTTATTGATCTCTTTCTATTCCAAGGGACTGCTCAGTTTTCTGGGGAAAACACAGATGAAAATGTAACATTCCCTTTCCCTCCAGGAGCTCTAATGTAGCATTAAAAAACAAACCACGTTTTCCCAAAACCAAAATTATGTCTGAGGACAGGGATGAGAAAAGATTGGTCAAGTAAAAAATTTTTTCATCTTAAAAATGCAGACCACCAGCATTTCCTTTTAAAAAAAAGTCCCAGTCTCCTCTTTTTCTCCTTCCGCAACTTCTGTCCATAGCGTGTTATAAATCTAAAGCTGCATGAGATAACAATACACAAAGGCTATTTGGTGGACTATTTGGGGGTGTCAGTTTACAGAGTTCTTTAAGGTCATAGAGTTTGTATGTTGAGTCTCCACAGAGGCATGTCCATACTCTGGTTTTACTCTGGTTTTTCTCTTGGTCAGGGTGGAATGCACGTCAATGGTGCACCTCCTCTTATGCAGGCTTCTATGCAAGCTGGAGTTCCAACACCAGGGCAAATGCCAGCATCTGTGACAGGACCTGGCCCTGGTGCCTTAGCTCCTGGAGGTACGTTTTATTTAGTCTTCACCATTTTGGTATTTTGCTAAAGTTTTTTTTATAGCAAATGGCATAGTGTAGCCAAATTCTTATGTGATAATGAGATCTTGATATAAAATTAATATACAGCTAAGAAGTATATATCCTAGGTGGAGGAAATAGTTGATTTCTTATATACAAATCCTATACGATAGTCACCCCTATCCACAGTTTCACTTTCCATGGTTTCAAATTACCCACGGTCAACCATGTCTGAAAATACTAAATGGAAAATTCCGGAAATAAGCAATTCTTAAGATTTAAATTGTGAGCCATTCTGAGTAGTGTGATGAAATCTTGTGCTGTCCCACTCTATCCCACCCAGGACCAGAATTATCCCTTTGTCCAGTGTATCCACACTATATATGCAACCCGCCCGTTAGTCAGTAGCCCTCCCAGGTATCAGATCGATTGTTGCAATATCGTAGTGCTTGTGTTCAAGTAACCCTTTTTTTACTTAATAATGGCCCCAAAGCACAAGAGTAGTGATGCTGGCAATTCGGATATGCTAAAGAGAAGCTGTACTGTGCTGCTTTTAAGTGAAAAGGTGAAAGTTCTCGACTTAATAAGGAAAGGAAAAAATCATATGCTGAGGTTGCTAAGATCTCTTACAGTATATTGTTACAGTTGTTCTCTTTTATCGTTAGTTATTGTTAATCTCTTATTATGCATAATTTATAGATTAAACTTTATTATAGAGCTGCATGTATAGGAAAAAACATAGTATATATAGGATTCAGTACTATCTGTGGTTTCAGGCATCTACTGGGGGTCTTGGAATGTATCCCCCATGGATAAGGGAGAACTACTCTATCTGATTATAAGAGCAGGGAAAAGGACACCAAAGTGGAAAACTACAGTAAAACTTCCAAATGAATGAGGGGGAGAAACAGAATGAATGGAAACTAGACCAAGCAAGCAAATACAGAGAAAAGGAAATGACATTGTGAAGTAAGTATAAATAAATGTAAAGTAAGGTAGAAGGAATAAAATCTTGTGTGGTCATTCTGTTAAATGTGAATGGACTGAATTCTCCCATTAAAAGCCAGAGACTGTTAGATTAGGTTAAAAAACACACAAAATACATAGTTACATTTGTTATTATTTAACAGACATAAAATTGCTTCTCATTAAATAAAATTAGACCAAACAACAAAAGGAGAAAAGACTTTTAAAACCTGTATATTTTCACTGAAAGTGTTTATATATATATATATATATATATATGCGCAATTAATAGAGTATTGCTATTACACTTGTGGCTTTTTGTCATTCAAGAATCGTAACTTAAAAAGTTATAAATGAAGTAGCAATTCCTCATGAAACACCTGTATGAACACGCAATGTATATCAACATATAAAGTTTTTTATGCAACAAACTCGCTTCTTTTTAATTTTTCTAATCTGGGTTAGATTGACTACAGTACTACTCATGGAGGATAATTTGAATTGTTCTGTTTTGTAGAGAAATCAGTCTACAAAGCTGAGTTAACAGGGAATAGAAGAGATTTTTAAAGAAATTTCAGCAAACTCATGATTTTCATTTATCCTATAGAGTTATAGTTAAATTGTCTTTCAGTGAAAGAAATGGATTCTGTATTTTATACATTTTTTTTTCTTTTTGATGAGGAAGATTGGCCCTGAGCTAACATGTGTGCCAGTCTTCCTCTATTTTGTATGTGAGACACCACCATAGCATGGCTTGATGAGTGGTGTCTAGGGCTGCACCCGGGATCCAAACCTGCAAACCCTGGGCTGCCGAAGCAGAGCACATGAACTTAACCACTATGCCACCAGGCCGGCCATATTTTAAGCATTTTTGAGTTATAGGTGCCTAACTTACCTTAAAATATTATAAGTCGTAGTGTGGTCCTACTACACATGGCAAATACGCATACATGACGTAGGTGGCTCATTACTTGAGTTGAAAAACACTCAAACTGCTCTATACCTCTTCGGTGAGACAAGTGCAGTGATCATGCACTTGGATATCACAGCAATGTCAAATTGCTATAAAAGATTTTAAGTGTCTGCTCTCCATTTCTGTACTTACGTTCTCATGAACTATTAACATACAGTGTGTGAATCAGCATCATCTATGGACCACACTTTGAGTAGCATTGTGCTAGTGGACAAAAGATACAGTAGCCCTCCTTATCTGCGGGGGATCCATTCCAAGACCCCCAGTGGATGCCTGAAACCACAGATAGGACTGAACCTTATATATAATGTTTTCTCCTAAACATACATACTTATGATAAAATTTAATGTATAAATTAGGCACAGTAAGAGATTAACAACAATAACTAAGTAAACAGAACAATTACAACAATATACTGTAGTAAAAGTCATGTGAATGTGGTCTCTCTCAAAATATCTTATTATACTGTACTCATCCTTGTGATGATGTGAGAAGATACAGTATCTATGTGATGAGATGAAGTGAGATAAATGAGGTAGGCATTGTGATGGAGAGTTAGGCTACTGTTGACCTTCCCATGATAGTTAGAAGGAGGATCATCTCCTTATCCACTGCCTGAACACAGTTGACTATGAGTAAGGATAAGGGAAGACTACTCCAAGTAAGGATGTTGAGGAATAAAATACTGGAATCATTAAGCCTGATTAATATATAGAGGGAGCCTGATATCTTTTGACTAGAGAATTCACTTTTTCCCCCACTAATGACCGTGGAACAGTAAAAAAAAAAAAAATTGACCATGTACTTAGCCATAAAATAAAAACAAATTTAAAAATGTAAACATTCTTTAGGCTGCATTCTCTGATTATAAGCCAATAAAATTAAAAATAAATAATTAAAAGGTGACTGAAAAAACCTTTACTTGGAAAATTAAGGAACGTACTCTACGTAGTCCTTGATTTAAAGAGGAAACAAAAAGAAATTTATAAGTTAGTTAAAAGACAACAAAAAGTACACTCATACAAAAAAGTATAGGAAATAGTGAAAGCAGTTCTTAAAGGAAAATGAATATTCTTAAATGCCTATATTATTAAAAAAGTAACTCTTGAGTACTAGTTTTAAAGAATTAGAAAAATAATTTTTTTAAAAAACAAGATACCAAGGAGAGGGAATTAATAAATATAAAAGTTGAAATTAAGTGTAAAAGAAACAAATAATGGAATTTTCAAGTGATATTTTTTGTGACTTTGTAGCATTTATACTTCTGAAGTTAAAAAACTTTACTATTTTTTTTTAAAGATTGGCACCTGAGCTAACATCTGTTGCCAATCTTCTTTTGTTTTTCCTTCTTCTCCCCAAAGCCCCCTGGTACATAGTTGTATATTCTGGTTGTGAGTGCCTCTGGTTGTGCTGTGTGGGATGCCGCCTCAGCATGGCCTGACGAGCCGTGCCGTGTTCGCGCCCAGGATCCAAACCGGGGAAACCCTGGGCCGCCAAAGCAGAGTGCACGAACCCAGCCACTTAGCAACGGGGCCATCCCCTTTACTAAGATTTTTGAGATACCCTGTACAAAGCTCTTTGACAGTTGATGAAAAGTGGGGACAACTTAGTAAAAAAGTAGGCAAACAAAATGAGTAGGCACTTCATAGAAGAGCAAATCCAAATGGCACCAAACAAAAGCAAATTTGTTTGTTGTCAGGGGATTGCAAATTAAATAACGAGATTTCACTTTACTTAAAGCCGTCAGACTAGCAAAAGTTGCAAAGAGAGATGACACTATCATCTGAGCTGGGCAAAGTGATATCATAAGTCACTGGTGGAAATGTAGTTTTGCAGCCTTTTAAGAAAGTAGACTCACATTAAAAATTTATATGCACTTTGACCCACCAGTTCCACTTCTGGGAAGCTAGCCCATACAAATAAAAGCCCTGTTATATGACAGTGTATAAAATGAGAAATTATGCCCATGAATCCTCCAGCCACTGCTTTCCTCAGATCCTAAATCTTTATATTGTTTTGGTTTGTGGTCTGAATTAGTCATAGAATGTTATGGCTAGAAGAGAGCTTTGAAATCATTTAGACATGTGGCCTTCAAACTTGAGTGTACATTAGAATCACCAGAAAAATTGGGGTACCGGCCTGGTGGCATAGTGGTTAAGTTCTTGCGCTCTGCTTCGGTGGCCTGGGGTTCACAGGTTCAGATCCCTGGCGTGGACTAAGCACCACTCGTCAAGCCACACTGTGGTGGCATTCCACATAAAATAGAGGAAGATTGGCACAGATGTTAGCTCAGCGACAGTCTTCCTCACAAACAAAAAAGAATCACCTGAAGGGCTTATTAAAACACCGATTGCTGGGCCCCACCCCCAGACTTTCTAATTCAGCAGGTCTGAGGTAGGGCCCTTTGAATTTGCAGTTCTGACAAGTCCCTGCTGGTGCTGACGCTGCTGGTCTGGAGACCACGTTCTGAGGACCACTGGCCTAGACCAACTAGTTCACTTTACAGATGAGGAAGCCTGGGACTATGTTAATTTTATCAAAGCACTTGTTCAAAATCACAGTTGTGTAGTAGCAGGGGTAGGGGTAGCGCAGGTTCAGCTTCTTAATCCATGACTCTTTGGTGCCTGGGATGTTAAATGGAGTAAGGGAATGTGACATGTACATGATATTTTAGGTGTTAATGAACTACAAACAGTTCGCTTGTCTTTTCTCCCCACTCATAGCATATATTGTTCCTTTGAGGAAAGAGAATTATTTCTGTATGGGAAGGACCACACAAGGACTTGTGGTACATGATTATAGTCTTTATATAGCAGTCATTGTACCCTGACTAGTTAGAGCAGACCAGTGGTTTTCAACCCTGTTAGACGCAATGGCCTCTTTTCAGAACGGATATTTTGCAGTGACTCTTTACTATCCTGAAATGAAATGCACAGATTATATAACCTATTTAACATGATTTCCCAAAAAAATTAGTATAATCAAAAAAATTAGTATAATGCCTAACTATAATATAAAGGAGAAGTAAAAGGAAATTATGATAAAAATATTTTTTAATATGCAAGTGTTCAGGCACAACTACACTAGAAAACAAAAGGTGGCAGGCAGATGCTTGCACCTATACCATGAATGTAAAAACTACAGATGTAGACAGATACGAGTATATTGTTTTAGCAACTCAAATACCATAAGGACTGTTGACGTTGGTGATGTGATTTTCTGAAATGGTGAAAACTCTTGGTAAAGTTCTTAACAAAACAAAATACATTACCCATAGTTTACTCAGTAATTGTGTTTCTGGAAAATTTAGTATGTGTGTGTGTATATATATATATATATATACACACATATATAAATATATATGTGTGTGTGTGTATATATAAACAAGGCACAGAACCTTTTTGTTTACAAATAAAACAGACTTAGGTTCTAAGTTCAGATGACTATAAACAGGTTTTCATTTGTGTGAATGTTTAGCTGTTCAGTGAGACATTTAAAAGTTTTGCAAGACAGAGTAATGCTTGATTTTGTGGGACTGTCTCATACATGGGAGGACATCCAGTATCCCTGTTAGCTTCTCATTAAATGCCAGCCGTGCTCCCACAAATCCTTGTCACAAGCAGAACCGTATACCCACACATTTACAAAATGCCCTGGGTACAGTACTGCCTCCTATGAGAGGGGTTACGTGAGTAAGTGCCATTGTTATCCCGTATTCCAGAAGAATTTCCTGCCAAGGTTTTGGTAACCAATGAGATTAAGTATTCTTATTTGACTCACTTTCTGCCACTGAAGCCTAAAGTATACTAACAAACTCCATCTTCTATGTAACTGCATTGTTTAGTGGTAGTTATGATCTTTCTTTGTAGGTTTCTGCTTGTGGGGCAGAAAGAAGAAATTTGTTAACTCAGCCACTGCTCTAATTTTTTTCCCCTGTCCTAATTTATGTTTTTCTTTCCTGCCCTTTATCTTATAGGAGGAATGCAGGCCCAAGTTGGAATGCCAGGAAGTGGACCAGTGTCCATGGAGCGGGGACAAGGTAAATAAATAGTAATGTCTGATTAATGTGAACTAGACTTGGAAATGTTCTATGTCTGCACTGTCTAATATGGCAGCCACTACCTCATGTGGCTCTTTGAATATTAAATTAATTAAAATTAAAATAAATTGAAATCAGGTAAAATCTAAAATTCAGGTCCTCATTCACAGTAGCCACATTCCAAGTGCTCAGTAGCCACATGGGGGTAGTGGATACCATACAGGATACTGCAGATATAGAACATTTCCATCACTGCAGAAAATTCTATTGGACAACACTAATCTAGACTTTCCATCTAGTGATTCAGAGCCTAGCTCTACAAGAATTGATGACAAAGCAATTGGATCCTTTGTTTCTATTTAATTTATATCACCTTTTCCTGATTGTCTGATGATTCTGCTGACAAGTTCTCTCCCTCTACGGGTATCTGTTGATTAAGAAATTTTAATAATAAGCATATAATATGTGTCTGGGTATGTAGACAACTAAATTTAAACCGCAGAGGAAACTCGGAGGGGATTTATTTTTCTATGTTCCTGGAGTTGGAAGAAAAAGAAAATGGCAGTGGTTCAGTTGAAAACAATGTTAGGAGGAGAGAGAGAGTGAGAAAACGGAAGAAACTAACAGTAAAACTGAATGCCTACTGTAGGCCGGGCACTTTAATTTTCGTAAACAACCTTGTGAGTTAGGTGGCAGCACTGAACTGTTTTCAGGTAAAGAGATGGAAGCTCAAGAGTTTTAAGTTACTCGAGGGGGACAAGGTAAGTAAATACTAATATGTGAGTAACGTGGACTGGACGTGGTGCTCTCATCTTCTCTTCCTGCTAGAAAGTGGCAGAGCTAAGATTCTGAAGTCTCTGACTCCAAAATCTGTCCTCTTTCTGTCAATCCATACTGCCTCTATTAACTTCTAAAAATACTCAAGTGTCTTCTGTTCTCATTCATTGTGTCCTTGTGATGAGAGAGAACTGCTTTGCACGAGCATAGAGAAGCTTAAGTTACTCCTTAGAATACGGCCTTTAAGTGAAACCCATTTTTTTTTAAAGCAAAATATTAAGATATAGGCCTGAGATATAGTACTATGCTCCTGGTCTATGGTTTGTACACTGGGGTTGATTGCTGAAGTAATGGAACTAATAATCTTGTCAGATGATTGACAGTGGGACAAGCTCTTGGCCAAATACCTCATCTGAGCCCCCTATGCTTTTGTGCTATTGTGCCCCACCCCCTCAGCCACTATCAGTAGATCATGTATGTACCCCAAAGTATTTTTGCATAGTGAGAAGAAATTGGGGTTTCAGTCATTCTTTTACAAAACTCTCCACAAGCCATCAATCAATCAAGCTGTGGCTGTTTAATACATACTTCCGCAAGTCATCTGCCTTCCTGCTAGTTATCTTCACGTTTCTAGTCAAAAGTTAACAAAGGGAAATGACTCAAGTTTTGAAAGTATATCAAAGATGTCTTCATGAAGAGACAAAGTGAGATGAGGGTTTTTTCAGTTTTCCTTCAGTAACCAGCAGAAGAAGTGAGAATCTTTCCATTTGTACCCTGTTTGTCTTTCTTTTCCTGGACTCCGTGCCGCTTTTGTACGTTTGTAATGGTGAAAGGAGACAGTGAGATGCTTAAGAAGATACTTCCTCTTGCCTTCTGCCGCCTGTGTTGAACGTTGGTGCCCTTGTCATCCCATTAGTTTTTGTTTGCTGTTGTCATGATGTTTGTTTATTATCAAAGACTTGCAGTGGAGTATTTCTTGAGGAGTGATACTCTTTCATTGTCTAAAGTTCGTTCACTACATTTCCCCATTTGATGCTTTTTGATAGCAGAAATTTTTGTGCTTTAAAATATGGCAAAGGTGCTACCACCCTATTTCTCTTACGGGCCTCTCCAGAATAAATCTTGCCTTCCAGGTTCAGTACAATTTCTTTCATTTTTTGTTTATGAAAATGTGTTTATGTTCTGTGCCTAACTAGAGATTCAGAACCATCCTTTTTATATTGTTTCCTTTTTTTTAATGGTATTATAAGGAGATTTAGGGGGAATCGTAGTAGCAGAGATGAAAATTGAAAGTGGCTGGTTATTCCTGCCCAAACAAAACCAGTGACCCACAGGTTTCACCTTAGGAAATCTCATCAAAGTGGAACAGTTTCAGATCCCAAAGAAGCTGTAATATGGTTTAGGAAGATTTTGTTGCCTGGGGCAAACTAATGTACTCTTGGCTTTTTAACTTATATGTGTAAATCTCCAGTGTCTGTATGTGTGCTTCCGCTTGTGTGTGCAAGCTATTTTAAGTGTCTGCTCTTTCTCCTTTTGAACTTACTGCTCACCTAGGAACCCTACAGCACTCGCCCGTGGGACCCGCCGGGCCTGCATCAATTGAGCGAGTTCAAGGTACCCATTGTATCTACGGGTTTCCTTTTGCTTGTGGTGTTCAGGGTGGGGCGTTGAGAGGACAACGGCTGCTTGGCAGTCATCCTCACGTTCAGAACCCAAAAGGGTAGTGTTTTGGGTTTTTGTTATTTAATTTTTCCTGTTGGGGCCACAAGCCTAAGATTGACCTCTTCACACAGGGCAGAGAACATGGATGATATGGGCATCTGTCCGAGGCTGTACTCCCTCCCTACTGGTGTCAGGAGGCTTGGATGGAATAGCAGTCTGTAAGGAGACAGCGGGTTCTTGCACAGCCATGGCAGTGTTCACATATGCCAAGACCCTACCTCTCTTTTGTGACTCTGGTCCTTGAACTAAGATTGATTATAAAGAAAACCAGGAGCATAAGTTTCTTCAGGTTGCAGTGCTAGTCCTTGGCAGGTTGCTCCCCAGTTTGCTCTTTATATAATTCCATCCATACCTCTGACATGGCACAGATTCTGCCTACACCCTGCTTCTGTTCTTGAGCTGCAAGAGGAGTCTGCTGTGGTGAGGTTTCACCCACTCTAAGGTGTCTGAATTATGTTGTCAGTGGTATATAGAGTCGTTTCTGGTTTCCTTATGTGTCCTTCACAGCAGTAACTCCCTGTTTGCTTCCCTGTCAGTGCCGATGCAAGACCCCAGAGCAGCGATGCAGCGTGGGCCCTTGCCTGCCAACGTCCCAACTCCTCGGGGTCTGTTAGGAGACGCTCCGAATGACCCACGTGGAGGCACTTTACTTTCTGTGACTGGAGAAGTGGAACCTAGGTAAGCATTAACCTAGAAGGGGAAGACTGGAGGACTCAGAATTTCCCCTTGCTTTGAGAACAGTCTTTTCATACCAGTTTACCTACTTCAGAAGATAAATGAATATTCATGGCCGCTGTCCAACACTAAGCACTTCTCTTTGGGCAGAACTGTGTAGTTGAGTATGTCATTTTGAACTAACCATGGCTACTCCGTCTTCAGAAATTGGAAATTCTATCACACATACCTGAACAGGAAAAACTTATATTGCTTACTGGTAGTAGTAATATTAATAATAGCAATAATAAAATAATAATAATAATTGGTATTAATGGGGATTATGCCTCTGACTCTGCTCTGAGTGCTTTACCTAGATCATCTCATTAAATCCACACAACAACCCTGTGATAGTGATACTAATATCAGTCCCATTTTACAGATGAAGAAACTGAGGCATAGAGAAGTTAAGTAAATGTACCCAAGATCACAGCTAATGAGTGATAGAGCCTAGATTTGAGCCCATACAGTGGCTCATGTTCTTAAGCACTATGCTGCATACTCATTATATATAATGGATATCTGTTAATTCCTCCTTAATTATGAATGCCCCAACCAAATATGAAATTCTAGAATACATGGATTTACATCTCCATAGCTTTTCTTCAACCTGTTTGGTGTTATTCTTTTAGCATTCATAGACTGATGTTTGCATTAGTTCTTTGTCTGCCTTTTACTTTCTGATCTTCTGGTTGAGACTTTTTTCTTGTTGTTTTGTTCTGTTTTAAAATATAACATTTTTCTTCATCTCTAGAGGTTACCTGGGACCACCTCATCAGGGTCCACCCATGCACCATGTCCCTGGCCATGACAGCCGTGGCCCACCCCCACATGAGATGAGGGGAGGGCCATTAGCCGAGCCCAGACCTCTAATGGCAGAGCCAAGAGGACCCATGCTAGATCAGAGGGGTCCACCCTTGGATGGCAGAGGTAAGGGGAGACCATGTCACAAGGCTGACTCGTAGTTGTGGGCTGATGATAAACCCAACTGTCTTAGGCTCTAATCTGGGATAAAGAATACTGGGGAAATAGGGTTGGCAAGCATTTTTAAGGTATATCTGAAATTCTGAGAGATTGGGGAGGAGAAAGCAGTCTCATGTAGCTTTAGGGAGATGTGACTGGAGGAATAGATTTCTTTCTTTCTTTGTTGGTTCTTCTTGCAGTAAAGGTGAGTAGCTACACAATGGTTTTCTTGCAACTTTCTTTATAGGTGGAAGAGATCCCCGAGGCATGGATGCACGAGGGATGGAGGCACGAGCCATGGAGGCAAGAGGATTAGATGCCAGAGGTTTGGAGGCCCGTGCAATGGAAGCCCGTGCAATGGAGGCCCGTGCAATGGAGGCCCGTGCAATGGAGGCCCGTGCAATGGAAGTCAGAGGGATGGAGGCCAGAAGCATGGATACAAGGGGCCCAGTGCCTGGCCCTAGAGGCCCTATACCTAGTGGAATTCAGGGTCCCAGTCCAATTAACATGGGGGCAGTTGGACCCCAGGGATCCAGACAGGTATGTGTAACACTTCTTGATCTGATTAGTAATCTTGATCTATGCAGGAATTGATTACTCAGCCTGATTATTACTGCTTTCTGATTTGGGCTATTTCTCAGCTTGTTAGGGAAAATTAGAATCTTCCTTTTCATTTCTTTGCCCCTTAGAGTGGTGATTTTCTGGCCACAAGGATTGTAGTCCAAAAGAGCAACCTTGTCCCACAATTTCAGGAGCTCTTCCATTCAGAGCAGAGCTCCTGGAAATTTAGGAGCTAGAGAGTATATCAGTAGAACCTAGGCATGGATCGTTTAAAAAACCTCCCCCATATGATTCTAATGCACAGCCCTAAGAACCCCTGCGTCAGAGCATATAAAGAGCTGTTAGTGGACATTTAGATAATCTTAGCTTTGCGGAAACCTATTTTAATTTACTTCCATCACACAGCCTAAGTCAACAGTGGAGTATGACAGGCAGCTTACAGATGCTCACCTTAAAACCTGCGGAACTGAACTCTTATCTCTTCTTTCTCTTTATTTGGCTCTCTCCAGCTGTGTTTATATGGTGGTCTATGATTGTCTGTGCGTCGTCATTTCCTCCCTCTTCACCCCCAGTTGTTTGTGGGGAGGTGGCATGTGTGTATCTCCCCTGAGGTTTTATATGCCAGCACCTTCATCTCCCTCTAGCCCCTCTACCTTCCTTTTTTCTGTGTCTTCCTTCCTCTTCTCTGTACTTCTGTTTCTCTTACCTCTTCCATATGTTTATGTGTCTTGCTCCCCATCTGTGTGTGTATGTGTGTGTGTGTGTGTGTGTGTATGAGAGAGAGTGAGAGAATGTCAGCTGGAATGGAATATGGCAGTCATCCAATTCTCTCATTTTATAGGTTTGGAAACTGAGGCCCAGGAATTCAGGTGACTTGCCCAAATTCATACAACTAAAAAGTGGCAGTACAAGGAATAGAATCCACTATTTTTCCCACTCTACTACTCTGTCCTGGTCTCTGCACGTTATGTATGTGTATATGTGTGTCTACCTCCCCCTCTTTAATATGAATTAGGAATATGTTGTTTTCTGGTATGTGTAGAAGAAAACCGTTTTCTATTGTTTTTCAAGTTATGCTTAAAAAAAACTTGTTCACGGGCCTTGTGTTTATTGTGCCCTCTGTGGTCAGTAACCTCATAATAAAAATGTTTTTTATGCATTCATTCAGTCATTCAGCAAGTATTCATTGAGCACCTACGATGCACCAGACAGACTGTAGGTACTGGGGATCTAGCAGGGTGAGCAAAACGAAGTCCCTGCCCCCAGGGGGCTTGGATTCTAATTGGGGAGACAGACAACAAATAACTATACGATGTGCTTATATAATTCTGTCAATGAATCTATGGAGAAAGAAGTTGAAAATAATGGTTGGAAGACGATTTCTGGATAATGTCCTGTTCCTTTATCTCTGCTAGCGCTTGAACTCATTACTCTGTAATATTAGGTTTATATAGTTTTCATTAGTAGATTCTATAAAGTTAATTAGATCTGAGGTGGAGAAAATAAAAATTTTATCTTCAAACCTTTTTAAAATTGTTTAAATTAATATGTTCACTTATAAATAAAAGTATAAAATACATTCACTCACATATAAAAGACATACAATAAGAACCTCACTTCCACCCCTGAACCATCTCCCTATGACCCCCATCTCCTATAGATAATCGCTTTCATTAGATTTTTTAATGTATCTTTCTAACAAATAAGAATATATATTCTTATTTTTTCAGTATTTTCCCCCCTTTCATTGTTTTGCACCTTGTTTTTTTATAGAACAGTATATCCTTAATTCATCATGTTAAATGAGGTTTTAAAATTAGCTCGATTCTACCCTCCTGGAAATTTTTTGGTAAAAGGCTTAGTATCACTAGGGTGATTATATAACTTATCATCCAAACAGGGACACATTTGAGAGTCAGAGTGCTGTTAGTAATTACTAACAAAAGCATAAACAGGGACTGTCATAGGCAAAGTTGGATATGTGAGATCACCTATATTATTACCTGTCTGCCTAGAACAGACACTCCTTGGAAACTGTAAATGGCCATTATTGAATGGTTAGATCCCATTATAGTACCTCAAATTAGTATCTACTGAAGCTTCAAAAAGGTTATTCTCCTAGATGTTTCAGATCCCTGACAGATCATTATGGTTCAGACTGGTGTCTGGATTCAGTATTGATAAAGACAGAGAGCAGTAATATTCTATCAGTCTATACAAGGATGTACTAATGCTTTACCTCTCTAGTGTCTCTGGGAATTAGTTAATGCATGTAAGTAAATGTTCCAGATAAAGAACTATCCTACCAAGTTTTTAAACTATTTGAATGAAGAATAATTTATAAAATGTGTTATGCTTCCTTCCCATCTTAAACAGGATACAAAAAATGATGTTAATCGTTATTGTTTACTCAAAGTCATCGTTGCGTGTACCCATTATTGTATATGCTATCATAGAAAGCATAGTTAGCTCCTGTTTTGGTTTCTGGTCTCCTCCGCCATCAGGCGGTCACCTGACTCTTCACATTGCTGTCATGATATCTGCTTTTAACAGTTTATCCACATTTTTTTTGTTTTGCTGATTCTAATCTGCTGGGGAAGCAGGTAACAAGTTTGTTAACAATTTGTCTTTAATAAGAGTACCTAAGCTCTGGATGAATGCCTGAGTGTGATCATAACTCCAGCAGAGGGACCTTGTAACAGTTATTCTAGGTGCTTGGAGGCCTTTTCCTTGTGTTCGGGTAGTCTTTCAAAAGATTGAACTCACCGAAGATCTTAAATACCAATAAGTGTGATATAACTGTACTTTATTCTTTTAACTCGGGTCAGTCCTGTTTCTTGGTCTGTATTTAGCAGAAAGCATCTGCTGCCTATTCTCTATGGAAAGTTATAAAAAGCAAATGTTGGGCTAATAGCAGTCTTTTCCCCAGAGGCCTTCCCATCTCCTTTCTGCCTCTGCCGTTAGCATCGTTTCTGCCTTACTTGTGGGATAGGGCCCTTGGGATGAACCACCTCTGTCTGATTGAACTGGAGGTAGGCGATGTCCCTGTGAATGTAGCTTCCCCAGTGGACCAGCATACATTATCTCTAGGATCTGTCAGCTTTCGTTTCTGTTTCCACTGAACACTAGCTTCCAGGATGCTCTGTTTTCTCTGTGCTTATGTGGCTGGATTTTGCTTGATTTGATGATATCCAGTTGTGCTGTGTGGTATTTGTGGATGATGCTGGAGCTGTTGTAAGCAAGTGTGTCTAACTTGCTAGATGATCTCTGGCTAAACCCTGCCTTCTGCCCTTGCTAACAGTAGGGAAATGATCTTCAGAATCATTAATTTGCTTTTTTTACTCATATCCATAATCAGATCATATTTTTTCACATTGCTGTTACTGGATTCTGGTTACCTATATGAGAAGTTCTGAAAATCTCTCCTTATCTCTCTTTGTGCACATAGGTCCCAGTCATGCAGGGAGCAGCCATGCAAGGAGCAAGCATTCAGGGTGGAGGCCAGCCTGGTGGCTTTAGTCCTGGCCAGAACCAAGTCACTCCACAGGACCATGAGAAAGTAAGCAATGCTGTCTGTCTCCATATGCACAAATCTTTTGGATTCCTCTCTTCACAGTTACCATGTGGAGGTCCTGGATCCTAAGAGTCTGTTTGGAAGTGATGTTTGCTCTTAGAACTCTTTATGATCTTTTTTGATGAGGAAGATTGGCCCTGAGCTAACATCTGTGCCAGTCTTCCTCTATTTTATGTGGGATGCCACCACAGCATGGCTTGACAAGCAGTGTTAGGTCCACACCTGGGATCTGAACCTGTGAACCCCAAGCAGAGCGAATGAACTTAACCACTATGCCACTGGACCAGCTCCTGACTCTTTATGATCTTGTTACCTGAAAATCTGTGTGCCTGGTCCTAAAATTCTTAAATGGATGTATGTAAATGGCAGCTTATCTTACATTTCAGACTCATCTGCCAATAGCAGTTTGTGCAGGCCAGATTGATCTGAAAATCCAAATGCCTTTCTTCCTCCCCTTTCTACCTTATCCCCAAAAACATAGCAAGTTCCCCACGAGTATATCTTTCTGTTTCTATATTTGACCATTGTGGGGAGCTCATGTCTGATAGAAAGGCTAAAACTTGTGAAAAGGAGAGACTTTCAAAACAGGATTAAATACTGAAGACTTCCTGGGGCTCACAGATAGCATCTTAGTCTGCAAGAACCTTGGGTTCATGAAAGTGTCTGTCTTGAGTCTTCTAATCTTAGATATTTTTCAACTTGTGCTTTTCATTGTGCCTTTTCTCACCAGCTGGTTTTGGGTTTTAGCTTGGTTTGACTTTTTTTTTTTTTTGGGCCTGCTGTTTTCTGTGTGTGAAATATCCATCCTTTTTGAACAAAAGCTGTTGGTGTTTTTTTAGCTGCCATCATTAAAACTCACTACCTTCTTTTTCTCTGCGCAGGCTGCTTTGATCATGCAGGTTCTTCAACTGACTGCAGACCAGATCGCCATGCTGCCTCCTGAGCAAAGGCAGAGTATCCTGATCTTAAAGGAACAGATACAGAAATCCACTGGAGCACCTTGAAAGGTGAGCAGACTTGCCCCGCCTAAGTTGGACGAGCTCCTCATGCATTCGGGGTATATACTCTCAACCTGAACTGCCAGGACTCCTGATCTTAAGACTCTAAGGCCTGCGCTCCTCTTGGCTAGGATCTTCACCCTTCCGTAGGTCTGCCCCCGTCAGGATAGAGGAAGGCCACAGGGCGTTCGTTCAGGTGTTGAATTGATTATCATCTTTTTTATACATTTTTTGAAGAAGAAGATGATTAGCGCTGAGCTAACATCTGCCGCCAATCCTCCTTTTTTTGCTGAGGAAGATTGGCTCTGAGCTAACATCCGTGCCAATCTTCCTCTATTTTATATGTGGGACGCCTGCCACAGCATGGCTTGACAAGCGGTGCATAGGTCCGCACTCAGGATCCAAACCAGTGAACCCTGGGCCACCAAAGCAGACCATGCAAACTTAATGGCCGTGCCACCAGGCTGGCCCCAATTGTCATCTTTTTTAACCTTTCTTTCCTCATAGCAAAAGTAACATGATCAATTTAACAAAACTAATCAAATACAGAAATGTAGAAAGTTCAGGGTAAAAAGCTCTGCTTTCTTAATCTCATTCCCCAGGCATAACCTCTAAATACAGTTTGGTGTGTATCCTTCTGGAATCAGTTGTGTTACTTTATTCCAAACTGTCCCATCAAGATGGAGAAAATACAAAGCATTTCAATAAATTGTTCTAAGTATTTTAGTTTCCAGTATTTATTTTATATCGAATATTTTGAGGTTAAACTATTATGGTACACAGGTCAAGGTAGTGAATGTCTGCTGTCACCGTCAGTCCCTGTAAATTCTGGAGGTTGCTGTATGCTGCTGCCCTCATTTTTCTTCTTTATCATTCAGGTAAAAAGGATCGTAATCATGTGACCTAACTTGATTATGTGTATTTGTGTTTCTTTTTAAAATTTTTCCGCAATATCTGGTATTTCATAAACAATTCTGTTTTCCAAAAACAGTTTAAAATTTATGTTGTCCCAGTGTCAGCTAGACTATCACATTTTGACTTTCTACTCTTTCCCCCATCTGTATTATAATTCCCATCCATATATCATCATATAATAGTGAACTCATTTACACTAATTAGTAATCTTTACTAAATATAGTATTTTAATCCATATTTGTAATATCATTAAAACATCCAAACTGGAAATAGGCATCATACCTGTATTTAGACTTTAAGTGACTGACCGTGATGGGAAGCCGTCATAGAAGGGTGGCTGGGTAACCTTCAGTGTGATCAGTACTTGAACTTTTTAGTCCAGGCACCCCAGGCATTCTATTTTCTTCAGTAAAAGCGTAGGCTACTGTTATTTTCAGAGGAATAGATAAAAACTATTCCTCTCTTTTACTTTTTCTAACTTATTTATGCTAGGAAAGGCATTCCCTACAATGTGAGGAAATTATTTCATTTGGATAGTGAAGGTAGAAATCCTTCTGAAAGTTCTTTGATTATGTATTCTCTTATGACATATTTCAAAGCCTTACACGTAAGCCACAGGGCAAGGTTGTTTGGTTTTTTTACCTTTTATTTTGAAGTAATTATAAACTCACAGGAAGTTAGACAAATAGCACAAAAAGCATCCTGTACTGTTCCTCCAGCTTCCCTCAATGATAACATCTTGAGAAGCTGCTGTACAATACCTTTTTGGTTTGTAGTACAAAAACCAAGAGATTGACATTGGTATAGTACTGTTAGCTAGACTACAGACCTTGCTCAGTTTTCACCATTTGTTTTAAACCTACATTAATATGTGTGTGTGTTGTGTGCATGTAGTTCTAGGCAATTTTATGTAGGTAAGGTTTTAATGTGTATTTGCTGGTATTTGTGCATACTGTAAGCAAAAGGTTGGTATTGCGTCCATCCTATACCTTGCCAGTTATGATTCATCTGTGCTGTCACTGACGGGCTTATACCGTTACCATAAGATCAGTAGTTTTCAACCAGAGGCCATTTTGCCCCCTACTGGACATTTGGAAATGTCTGGAGACATTTTTCGTTGTCATAAGTTTAGGGAGTACAGTGTGCTACTGGCATTCAGTGGGTAGAAACTAGAGATGCTGCCAAACATCCTGTAATGCACAGGACGTCCTCCATAACAAAGAATTTTCTGGCACACAAATGTTGGTAGTGCTGAGGTTGAGAAACCCTGCTGTAAGGGATGATTATTCTGGGGAGACAGGAGGCAGACACCTTAGGAGTCCATCCCTGGTGACTTGCTCTTATGCGTAGCCTCCTTCCTCCAGCCTTTGAATTTTTTTCCTGATGTCGAGGAATTTTGTCTCCACTTCTAATGGCTCTCTCCCAACTTTTCCTTACAGGTTGACAAAAATACCTGGCAACAAATCTGGAAATTAATTCCATCATGTGGTTGAAATATTGCAAAAAGATGACTTCTGCATCCTGACCCTTGAATGACTCAAACTGGTGCCAGGTGGAGGACTCCCATCACCTCTCAGAACAAAATCAGTCCATTCTGTCATCTTAGTTTGTATATTTTCTGTGACTTGAAATAAACTTTGAACACAATTTTAGTATACTGCAAATTGATATACATGACCTTTTTGCTTTTAAAAAGCTGAGCACCAAGGGTGAAACCTTAGATGTGTTTTCTACCCTTACCGCAGTATTGTACTTTAATATATTGCCATAGCTGTTTTTCCTTTTAAGTTAACCGTTTATTCCTCTTTGATATTTGAGAATTTCTCAGAAGCAGTGTTTTCTGGAACTTAGTTTTTGCTTAGTTTGCTTCCAGCAGGCATAATAAGATTTGCCCTTTGAGAACTTGCTAGAACTTCTGAGTCTACTGGGAGAAAATAGCACCTGCTTAGAGCTATAAAATGGTTAGAAGCCCAACAAAGCAGAGCGCCTAGCAGAGCAGTGTAATTTAGTTTAGAAAAATCCAAATATCAAAATGCATTTTTACGTCAGTAGCAGGTCTATTCATGTGCATAGTTCGGAATTCAAGACAAAGATGTAGTGGCACTGGTTCGAGTGTGTCAACAAAACAAGACTGTTGACCTTTACCTATCTGTTCTAAAATTCTTCAGTCTGGATAGTCAACTTTAAAAGGTAAAAAAGCCACTAATTTTTCACATGTTCAAGATGAAATAAAAACGGAACAGAAATCAAATGAGCAAAATACATTTCATCCTATCTTCTAGATTTCACTAACCTGTAGCTCTACCCTGTAACCAAATTTATTCTGGGAAGTTAAAGGAGAAAACCCTAAGACTTTTACATTCTTCTCATTTTTTGAAGTGGACCAAATGCAGAGCACAGTCAGATTGCCCATTAGGCCTGCCCCTGTTTGCTTCCTTGCAGATAGGTATGAACATAATTAGTGCCACGAGCTCTAACCTATGGCTCTTCCAGCCTAGTATTCTCTCTCATGGTGGCGTTAAGGAGGAACATGTTTTCCCTCCATCAGGCCAGCCTCAAGAGGTTAAGAGGTGCCTTAATAATTAGTAAAGTTCCACTGGAACTACTCTTGAGCCTATTTATATTCTCAGAATCCTATCCTCTGGGTTAGGATTATGGTCAAGTGAATTAAAAGCCTTCCATAGGCTTAGAGAATGTAATAGCATATTGCTTACATGTCAAGCGAAAGAATGCAAAGATAATCATTTTTATAAGAGGCATTGAAATTGAGGGATTTTCTATTCTGATACATAAACATTTACAAAATTGGCTGAATAAGATACTTCATATTGCGTCCTAGGAAGAAAAACATGCTCAAAACAGCTGAGGAGCTTTCTGGGTATCCTGCTCATCCCCAGTTCAGGCATGGATGTTGATCATGTATAGGATTTATTATTATCATTACCTTTTTTGCTTGCTTCCATGAATATTCTAGCCCGCGATATGTTGATTTTAGCAGCAGTCAGCCATATCTTGAAGTGTCAATACATTTAGACATTGAGACCAAGAGTGAAACCTTTCTCATTAGGAACTTATCATAAGTTTCAAGGAACACTAAGATTCCAAATCAAAGTCGTCGAAGATCAAATTATCATTTGGTCAGCAGTTGTCTAATAGGAACCATACTGTCAAGGTTCCATTGTGCATTTTCCTAAAACCTTATTAAATTTAATTTAGTTAGCTAAAATCTGGAAAATTGGCAACAGCAGGGTATCCCAATCTATTCCTATGGAAACTCATTAGTATTTTTTACCGATGTCTAATTAGTAAGTGAAACACAATTAGCTGCCGTGAGTTCGTGACCTGCCTTTACCTTGTTAAACTAGTGACTGAAAAAAATCGATCTTACTAATCCTTCAAGTCATATATGTTTCTGGATAATTAGAAACAACCATTTATTCATTCTTGGTCACTTCGTAGTAGAGAAATAGGTGCTATAATGCTAATTCAGTAGAAACATTGTTATAAATTGATGAGTCGAATTGTCTTTGGGCACAATGAAGTGTGAGTTTTCTCCTTCTCTTAAGGGCCCCGGTCCTCTTTCCTCCTCCTGATTCACTGTGACTACTAACATCCCAGAGCCAGCTGGATGGGAGAAATAAAAGCATTTTGATAGGAGAAAGAAAAGGCATTTTGTTTATGTCATTAGGTGAATGATTCTTTAGTGAATAGGGAGGAGCCCAAGAAATGTTATCAAAATTCTAAATTATCTTTTTTTAAACCTAGGCATTAATAAACCCCCTTAATAAAAATGGTGATAAAGAGCCCCTGTTGACTAAATAAGTCATCCTAAGATGGATTTCACGTTTTCACAATTTTCAACAGAACAATGCAAGCTAATGACAATATAGGTTTCATTTCTAATACAATTTCAATTATGATTAACATATTTGCAAGATTTTCTTTCCCAAATGGAGAGTCCAGATAAAGTAACAAAAGACTCATTTGTTAAGCAAAGAAGAAAATCCTTCATTTTTTGACAAGGAAACGTGAGTAAAGCATAATTTGCTGTTCTCACTGGATAAGACCATGTTGAACATAATAGAGTGTACATAGTGTTACATAGGGATGGGGTTCTTGGTAATCTTATGTTCGTTATTTTATTATTTATGCTTATTATGTTGTGTCGTTAATTCTTCAATAAATTTTTATTTTAAAAAAATCATCCTGCTTAGAAATCTTCTTTGTGGGTGGGAGGGGAGATTATGACCCCAGGTCCAGGAGATGGTAACATTTAGAATCAACAAAATCACCTCGGCTTAAATTGTCTGTCAACCTCCTCTACTAGCAGGCCTTGCTGCGGTCATGGCATTCCAAAAGGATTTACAGTTATTTTCCCAAGAAAGGATCCATGGGCTTTGGATTATCGTGACTCCTGGTGTTCTCAGGTTCGTGAAAGCTCGGTGACGACAAAGTTGAATCCAATTCAAAAAGAATGCCAGGGACTCAAGGCTTGAGAGGCACATTATTATCCCTCAGTGGCAGCTGCCCAAACCTGATCAGACCAAGTAAGTTGTTGAAGATACAAAGGAGAGACTATGCAGATTACCGTCCTTATTCCTATAATTCAGAAGTTTTCTTTGTTGAAGTAGAATTGAACCTTCCTAGGATCCAGACTGGAGTGTTGGCGACAGCGTTTGCTCAGGCTCTTTGCCATTTTCTTAGGACCACATAGGAAAACTCCCACCGCAGACCTGCAAGAATAGAACAATAGTGAGGGCAAGAATTCAGCGAGGCTGCTGATGTGCTTGGTGGGAAGGGAGAAAGGGCCTCTGCTAGGCCTCTGCTACTCCCAGCAAGCTTGCACAAAAATCCCCTGTTGACGCCCTCTCACATTCCTCAGGGTAGTTTTCTTACCTTTTCTGCTTGCAAGCCCCAAATGTGCCCCCAGCCCTTATCACTCAGCACTCAGCCTTTCCTATGCTATTGAGAACAGACACTCAGGAGGTGTAGTACAGTGTGGTAGTTCAGTGCTAGACTCGAGCCAGGCTATCTGGGTTCAGATCCCAGCTCTGACACTTGTCCCAGCTGTGTGACTTCAGGCAAGTTTCTTTGTTTTTTTTTTTTTTTTTAAAGATTTTATTTTTCCTTTTTCTCCCCAAAGCCTCCCGGTACACAGTTGTGTATTTTTAGTTGTGGGTCCTTCTAGTTGTGGCATGTGGGATGCCGCCTCAGGCAAGTTTCTTAACCTCTCTGTTTCAGTTTTCCCACCTGTAAAATGGAGATAAAAACAGTACCCACCTCATAGGGTTGTTCTGAGGTTTAAACAAAAAACAGATGAAGCAATTAGAAAAATCCTTGGCACAAAGCAAATGAGTACGTGTTAGGTGCCATTAAAGCCATCCATTATGCACTTATCCCTGCTTCAAAATTTCTCACACTGAAGAGGCGGTGGTCTCTCTTGCCAAGGATAATCTTTCTAACTATGCTCTGGGTCTCACCCTTTCCTTCCTTCTTTCATACCTTCCGCTTCCCTCTTTTTTACTTAATTGAGATAGAATTCACAGATCATAACATACACCCTTTTAAAGTGTGCAGTTAGTGCTTTTTAGTATAGTCACAACGTTGTTCAACCATCACCGCTATCGAATCTGAGAACATGTTCACCATCCCCAAAAGAAACCCCATACACGTTAGCAGTCACTTCCTATCTCCTCCCAACTGCACCCGCAGCCCTAGACAATCAAATTGACCTTCTGTCTCCAGATTTGCCTATTCTGAACATTTCGTCTAAGTGGAATCATATGATATGTGGCCTTTTGTGTCTGGTTTCCTGCAATTAACATACTGTTTTCAAGGTCCATCCATGCCGTAGCAAGTATCAGCACTTCATTCCTTTTTACAGCTGAGGAATGTTCCATTGCGTGGATAGACCACATTTTGTTTATCCATTCATCTGTTAATGGACATGGGTTGTTTCCACTTTCTGGCTACACTACGTACATTCACGTACAAGTTTTTGTGTGGACATATGTTTTCATTTCTCTTGGGAATAAGGAGTGAAATTGCTGTGTGATGTGGTAACTCTACATTTACTATTTTGCGGGAATTGCCGCTTATCCCAAAGTGTTGCAATGTTTTACATTCCAACAAACAATGTAGGAGGAACCCTCCTACAATTTCTTCAATTCCTTGCCAGCTCTTATTGCCTGTTTTTTATTATGGCTATCCTAGCCCTCTGTCCCCTTTTGTATATTTACTTTATTCCTATCTACTGGCTCCTGTTCAGTCTATAAAAATGCTTAGATTGCCCTTACGCTAAATAAACATTTCCTGGACCTGCCACTCCTTCAACGCTGTTAACCACACTTCTCTAATAGTGCCTTCTTTGGCTTCTGTGACGCCGCGTCTCCACGTTCTCCTGCTTGTCCCTGGTTCACCTTTCTCCCTTCCCACGTAATGTAAGCATTCCTTAATACTCTGTCCTCTGCCACTCTCTCTCTCCTGGCAACCTCATCCATTCTCACAACTTCTACTATGGTCAACTTGACACAATAATTAACATTGTCTCTTTTGCTTATATGCTGCTTTACAGTTCACAGAGCATTTTTATATATTGTCTTGCTTAATATTCATGACAATCCTGCAAGTGAGTAGAGCAGGCACCTACCAACATAAACCATATTTTACAGATGAGAAATCTGAAGATCAGGGGGGTTTCTGGCTCAAGGTCCCAGAACTAGAAAGTGTCAGAACTACCATTAGAATCTAGAATCATCTGAATCTGAGTCACCACGTGTTCTCACCACTGCCCTCGTGAAGCCTTTCCTGATCACCCCACGAGGGCATAGACTTTCCTTCCCTTGATGTCCATGTACCTGTTTCATGGAGTGCATCGTTCTGCTTTGAATTGATGGTATGCATCTCTTATTAAAATGTGTGCTCCTTGATGGCGAGAACCATATGCTATTTCTCTTTCATCCTCCAAAGCTTCTAGAATAGTGAGTGCTGAGCTTATGGAAGGTAACAAATAATGTTTGTGGAAATGAATTGATCTTCACCTGGTAACTTGTTCCAGGAATTTCTCTAACACGATCAGCTTAACCTCCTTCCCAACGGGATGGCTGATTTCCTGGCACCAGGTTTTCCTCTATGCTCCAGCATGCTTCAAAACCCCTCCAGAAAGACCTAGGTCAGGTCATCAGTTAATTAGGTGATACACTCCAAACCCTTGTTACTTTAAGTAGAGGTCATTAAGGCCAAAACCAACGCATTTGAATTGTTCCAGTTCTCTAGTGTGTTTGGTAATACAGATTGAAACTGAGTCTCCTTGCCTCACTGTTTGAATGAGGGCTTGCTGGGGCATCAAATATCTTCTCATCAATTACAATATCATGACCCTTATTTGGCTAAAACCCTAGATGAAATTTCCTCAGTTTTAAGCAAGAATCTAAGCTGGTGCAAAAAGTTTCTGCCCCAGAGAACTTTTCTGCCCCAGAGATCTTTTCCCAAGAGTGTTCAAGGTGCTGTAAGACATTTCCTAAACCCTAACTCTGCAAACTCAACTAACTAGAGGAGCATACACTTACTTGGGATGGGCAGTGGCTATTGCAGAAAACTCATTGTCCCACATAGGTCTCCCAAAGAAGGTTTTCTGCTTCAGACCTGTCAGGATGTCAGTGGCCTTGTCAAAGTTTAATGCTGCGTGACCAGCCTGGAGTCAGAGAAATAAGAAATTAGAAAAAGCAGTTCTATAGCTGTCTCTCCCTTCAGCCACTTTTAAACTTGGGTGTGAGGGTGAGGGCAGGTAGAAAATCATAAGAAATTATTTCCAATCAGCATGCTCTATCTTTGGTCCAAAATTCATCTTGCATCTAACGTGGGAATTAGCCTGTTGTTTGGACTCACGATGTTGCTGTTCCATCCGGTAAGGAAGAGACGGTAGTTTAGAAAACCCACTTTGCCTAATTCCTCCATCTCCTGTTCCAGGGAAGCCAATAGGTCATTGAACCAGGCAAAGGCACCTGTCTCCCTGCAGATCCAGTAGAAATAGATCTGGAATCAGCAAGAGAGAACGTAACATTATTAAGTGCCCCTTACGATGTGCGCTGTGGTGACGTGATTATGTTTATATGCTCTACATTTGTTGATGAAGTCTAAGGGTGACCTGAAAAATCACCTCTACAGAGCCGCAGACCTTAAGCAGCATGAGTGTCCAGAGTCCTGACAACTTCCCTTATGGAAAGAAACCTCCAACATGATCTTTGGTTCAAGGTGATTTTAAACTCCAAATTGAAAATGAAGACCCTGTTCTTGTGATAAATCTGTAGAAGCAGACACCTCGGCAGAGAGAAGTGATCACTCACTCTCATAACTCCAGGGGGTGGGGGGTGGTGGTGGTTATTCTCTTATCCATTGTAAAGAGCTTAGGCCCTGAAAGCAATGGACCTGGTAGGCCCAGAGCAGATGAAAAGTGGTATGCGGGAGAGTACCGTTTGTGTTTTGAGCTTGCGATCATCCTGCCGGAATTTGTACCAGATGGACTTCAAAATGGAAGCAAAAGGAGTGACCCCAATTCCTGCTCCAACCAACATAGCCACTTCATACTGGAAAACATCCTCACTGACGGTGCCAAAGGGACCATCCACCTGAATCCTGGCAGAAGACAGAAGACAATGGGCAAGTGAAGTCTCACCTGCACCCCAACCTCAAACATCCTTCCAGATACATAGCTGTTCCCACAGTTGACTTCTGCCAACTTATTTTAATCATATTCTATTGTACCAGACTTAAGGTTCAACGAGGAATTGTTTTCTCTTTTCTGCCTGTCTGCCTCCCGGTCTGGGACTCTGCTGCTCTCAAGGACCTACCTGGGAAATGGCGAATGCTGTTGTTCAAAAGCCCTTATGAGATTTTCTGTCCAGTCCCCTGCTGCTCGGATATGAATGGAGAAGAAGTCTTCCTCTGGAGCAGAAGTCAGGGTAAAGGGATGCCACTCCAGGTAAGAGATTGAGGGGCACTTAACAAAAATATACTGTCCCACTTCCATGCTGAAGCCACGCTTGGTCAACTGCAATTCCAAAACTTTGGATGGGTGCATGACAACCTATGAATGAAGCACAGAGACCAATGGAGGCAAATCCAAACGGCGACAGGGGCAGGCAGATAAAGTAAATGAGTAAAGCTGGAGGGCTGGTGACAGTGGTGAACTGCAAGCACGAATCCTTTCTAAAGGGGGCAGCAGTTACTTAGTCCAGACAACGGTTGCACTACGGAACCGTGACCCCGCATTATCAGGTTGCCTGATTCTTCAAGAGAAGCCAGAAATGCCATTTTTTAATGTGAAAGCCGCCATCCAGATTTTTAAATGTTAGCAATCAATTCGACTTTCTAAACAATCAGAGTGTGGGCCAAACAAATATGCCTGTGAGCTAGACCTGGCGCAGGCCACCTGTTTGCAGCCTCTTACATAGACCCATGCTCGATGATTTCTGCCAAATCCCTCTTTCCCATAGTTCTGGCCGGCGCTGGCGGAACTGAAGTATGTGGCCTCCAAGTTCTTTTTTATTCCCTTCAGGGTGACAACATGGCCACTGATTTCTATAATCAGGAAGAATGGAAGTCTTATCCCAGCAAGGGGAAAGTACGTATTCTTTACCTTGATAATCTCAACCTTCTGCAGGGAGCGATAACCTCGGAGAATGATCCTTTCAAATAAATAAAGAATGAGTGGTGCAAGGATCCACTTCCAAGACTGCACAGAGAGTAAAGAATGGAGTTACACATTAATCTCTCGTTTAGGATTTACTTGTGTAGCAGTTCAATCCTTCATTCAATAAAAAGTTTATTTAGTTCTCTGGTGCTTATCATTATTAAGCCACTAATTTCACCAAATTTTGAGGATGGAAATGGAAAGGAATAAACTACAGTGGTTTTGTTTGCTAATCTGTTACTCATAAAGCAGATCATTTGCTGAAATTTTACAGTTCTCACCAGGAAGCAAAAGAAAAGCACAGAAATAAAATACATGGTAATTATATACATATCTGATATACATTCTTAAATTATATATAAAATAATTTTAGGAATCCAAGACTGTTTTCCAGAACAACTTGTCCAATCTGAAAAACCAACAGAGAAGGTAAATGTGAAATAGAAGCAGATGATTAAAAACAAAACAATCAAAAAAGGGAAAGCACGCGGCTGACACTATTGGTAACAACAATATATAAAACTTGGTAGTTATCCATCACCTCTTTTCTCAAGCACTCAAAACACTTAACATAGTAATATACTTTTTATCTTGTACACATTTTTTTAAAAAGCAGACTTCCTATCCCTGAGTTCTCAAAGGTAGCAGGTTGCTTCCATATGCACAGGAGCTACTAAAAATGTATATGCTAGCAATGCGAAGTCATGTGTTGTCTTGTACAATTGCTCGGGCATGATACATCAGAATATGTGCAATGAGGTTTCTTATGCTGTTTCTGGCAAATAACCTCCTTGGATACCTCTGGGGAGGAAAGGTGCAGAAATGGGGCTAGTAAACTTGAGAGTGGGCATTTTACAATTTGATGTTACTTCTTATTTGGAAAAAATTCCCAGCTGAACTCAGAAGACATGAAAAAATATATATTTAAGAAATGGCTAATAACAACGTGGGAAAAAAACCTGCCTCAGAAGTAATCAGAGAAATGAATATTAAAACAAAATAGCAATCTTTCACAAAGGATCCAAGAACATACAATGAAGAAAGCAAAACAAAAGAGCATTTTAGCCTCTCAAGTTGGAAAACAGCTTTAAACAATAATGCCGCCCATTGACTGGGATGCAAAGAATTGGACATATTCACATGTGTAGCTGGTGGAAGTGCAAATTAGTAGCATCTTCCCAGAGAGCAATTTGGCAATATATCCCAACAGCCTTGAAAGCATTCCTTCTCTTTGACACAGGAATTTTACTTCTAGGAAATGGAGCATAAAGTAATAATTAAGGTATGTACAAAGTATAAGAGTATAGTAATGGCCACATTATTTACTAAGAAAAAAATGAAAAAAAAACAGTATACCATACAGATTTTTTTTGTTGCCCACATCAACTGTCTTTTTTTAATTTTAATTTTTATTTATTGTTTGGTTTTGAGATATAATTGACATATAACATTATATTAAAGTGTACAAGATAATGATTCAATATTTGTATGTATTGTGTAATGATCACCACAATAAGTTTAGTTAACATCTGTCACCATACATAGTCACAAAAAAATTTTTTTCTTGTGATGAGAACTTTTAAGATCTACTCTCTTAGCAACTTTCAAATATACAATACAATATTAACTGTAGTCACCATGCTGTGTATTACATCCTCATGAATTATTTATTTTACAACTGGAAGTTTGTACCTTTTGACCTCTTTCACCCATTTCGCCCACTCTCCCCACCCCTTGCCTCTGGAAACCACCAATCTGTTCTGTATCTATGAACTTGTTTTTTTTTTTTTATTAGTAGATTGCACATATAAGTGAGATTATATGGTGTTTTTGTTTGTCTGTCTGACATTTCACCTACCACAATGCCCTCAAGGTCAATAAAAATGACCATGTGGGTGGTTTCCTTTGCCATGAAGGGGCTTTTTAATCTGATATAGTCCCATTTGTTTATTTTTTTCTTTTGTTTCCCTTGCCTGAGTAGACATGGTATTCAAAAAGATACTGCTAAGACCAATATCAAAGAGTGTACTGGCTATATTTTCTTCTAAGGGTTTTATGGTTTCAGATCTTAATTCAAGTCTTTAACCCATTTTGAATTAATTTTTGTGTATGGTATAAGATGATGGTCTGCTTTCAATCTTTTGCACGTGGCTGTCCAGTTTTCCTAACACCATTTATTGAAGAGACCAAATCATCAACAAAACGAAAAGACAACCCACCAACTGGGAGAAAATATTTGCAAATTGCATATCTGACAAGGGATTAATTTCCAAAATATATAAAGAATTCATACAACTCAACAACAAAAAAATGAACAACTCAATCAAAAAATGGGCAGAGGAGGTGAACAGACATTTTTCCAAAGAAGATATACAGATGGCCAACAGGCACATGAAAAGATGTTCAGCAACACTAATTATTTGGGAAATGCAAATGAAAACTACAATGAGAGGGGCCAGCCCAGTGGTATAGTGGTTAAGTTTGTGTGCTCCACTTCAGCAGCTTGGGTTTGTGGGTTCAGATCCTGGATGCAGACCTACACCACTCATCAGAGCCATGCTGTGGCAGTGACCCACAGACAAAACAGAGGAAGAAGGGCACAGATGTTAGCTCAGGGCCAATCTTCCTCAAGCAAAAAGAGGAAGATTGGCAAAAGGTGTTAGGGCCAATCTTCCTCACCAAAAAAACAAAAAACTACAATGAGATATCACCTCACCCCTGTCAGAATGGCTATAATTAACAAGACAAGAAATAAGTGTTGGACAGGATGTGGAGAAAAGGGAATTCTCATATACTGCTTATGGGAATACAAACTGGTGAAGCCATTACGGAAAATAGTAAAGAGATTTCTCAAAAAATCAAAAATAGAAATACCATATTACCCAGCTATCCCACTACTGGGTAGCTATCCAAAGGACATGAAATCAACAATTCAAAGAGATTTATGCACCCCTATGTTCATTGTGGCATTATTCACAATAGCTAAGACGTGGAAGCAACCCAAGTGCCTGTCAATTGATGACTGGATAAAGAAGATGTGGTATATTTATACAATGGAATACTCCTCAGCCATGGAAAAGACAAAATCGGGCCATTTGCAACAACATGGATGGACCTAGAGGATATTATGCTAAGCAAAATAAATCAGACAGAGAAAGAAAAACACCACACGATTCCACTCATATGTGGAAGATAAACAAACACATGGGTAAGAACAGACTGGAGGTTACCAGAGGGGAAGGGGGTAGGGGTAGGGTGAAAGGGGTAAAGAGGCACATATGTATGATGATGATGGAGAAAAACTAGACTATTGGTGGTGAACACGATGCAGTCTATACAGAAACTGAAATATAATGATGTACACCTGAAATTTACACAATGTTATAAGCCAATATGACATCAATAAAATTTAAAAAATGACCATGTAGAAAACAATGACAAAAATGGTATACCATACAGGTTTTGAGAACAAATGTTTCAGAAGAATATTTGATAACAGAGGAAAGCATCCATGACATAGATCAAGGGGAAAAAATTATTACCTCTGGGTGGTAGAATTCTGTGAAATTTTCACTTTCTTTTAAACATTTCTCTGTGTTTCCCAAACTTTCTACAATAAACATGTATTATTTCTATAATTCTTAAGTGGGGAGAATATGGAGAGAGTATTTTTTTAATGTTTATGGAAGAAACAAATCAATACACTCAAACAGATTGCAAAACTGGGGTATTTATTGTGTGACCAATCAAAGCAACCTCTGAGTTGTAAGTAGTCCTTCAAATAGGCCAAATATACCTAATCTCAGGTAATAGATGGGAACAAGACAAAAGTTGAAGTGCAAGGTAAAACAGGGGATTAACCGCCTTAGCTAGTAAGGGGCTGATCAAGCTTTATAGCTTCCTGCCCTTAAGGGCCTCTCGTCTACTGGTCAAATAATATAGCAAGTCTTTGGATATAGCTTATAAGTTCCTCTGACTTTAGGAATGAAATGTGCTGTTAACATATGCCAGGCATGTCCTTTAAAATTATTTTTTAAGTAGCTAATACATGTACACGGCGCACAATTCAAAAGAACAAAAGGGTATACAATGAAAAGTAAATCTCCCTTCCATCCCTGTCCCCCTGCTGCCAGAGGCAGTCAATGTTACTGTTCTGTGAATCCTTCTGGAGAACATGCATTTAAGTGATAATATTGCATTAAGTGAAAATGGTAGCAGACTATACACACTGCCCTGCCTTTTTTTCATTTAACCTCTTAGAGACCGGTCCATATGAGTACATATAAGAGATTCCTCTTTCTTTTAAATGACTGCAGAATATTCCATTGTAGGAAAGTCCTATAATTTAACTAGTCCCTACTGATGGGCACTTCTTTCCAACCTTTTGTTCTATCAAGCAGTGAATAACCTAATACAAAATTTAACACATATGAAAATATATTTTTTAGAATAAATTACTGGAAGTAGAATTTTAAAGTTTGATAAATACTACCAAATTACCCTTACAAGCAGTTGCATACGTTGACGCTCTCACCAGTAATGCATGAGAGCATTGCCAACCTAGCACACGAGTAAATATTTTTATCTTTGCTAATCTGTTAGGTTAAAACAAAAGTATCTTAATGTAGTTTTATTTTGCATTTCTTCTATTATGAATAACATTAAGTGTAATTGCATATATTTAAGATTAACATATATCTTCATTTCTGTTCATATCCTCTACATATTTTTATCAGGTTGTTAGGCTTTTTCTTATTGATTTATAGGAGTTATTTACATATTCGGAAATTAGTTCATGGTCTGTGAGTTGTAAATGCTTTTCCTACTTAGTAATTTGTCACCTGTCTTTATTTATGATGGATTTTTTGCCATAAAAATTTATAGATAGATAATAAAGTTGGATATTTATATTTATTCAAATTTATTATCTTTCCTTTTCTTATTTAGAGGTTATTTTCAATAATATTCCAGTATTAGAAAAAAAATTTCCCATGTGGTCTTAGGGTGCTTTTATGATTTCTTTCTTTCTTTTTTTTAATTTTATTGAGGTCACATTGGTTTAGAACATTGTGCGATTTTCAGGCGTATATCATTACAGTTCAGTTTCTGGATAGACTGCATCATGTTCACCACCAAAAGTCTAGTTTCCATCTGTCACCGTACCTATGTGCCCCTTTACCCCTTTCACCCTCCCCCCACCCTCTTCCCCTCTGGTAGCCACCAATCTGTTCTCCTCCTTGATCCACTCATCCTTGATCCATATTTTAGTGTAAAGTGTGGAATAAAGAAACAGCTTTTTTTTCTTAGATGGCTATTTTATTATTCTAAAAGAATTAGTGAATAATCTATCTTTTTTCCCACTAAGTTTGAAATGCCAACTTTAGGGGATTTTTTAAAGATATTTTTCTCTTTCTAGATGAGGTATGAGCTGTTGCTCTTGATTCTGCATGTGATTGAAAGACTTTAACCATCCTCAGAGCACATTGACGCACCACAAGTCAACCTTTCCTTCAATTTATTCCTCAATCTAACATATTTTATGAGGAACCCATAACCATAATATCCACGATAATTACCCTGAGGCACACCTCAAGTTTGCCTGGAACCCAGTTTCTTGATCATCCACTACTAAAAATAATTTCCAAGCATGTTCTTATAACACCAAAGATGGCTGACTTCAAGAGTGTTTCAAAAACAAAGTTGAACTCACAGAAACAGAGAGTAGGAAAGTGGTTAACCAGGGGCTGGAGTGGGGGAAATGGGGAGATGCCGGTCAAAAGGTACAAGCCTTCAGTCATAAGATGAATAAGCTCTAGGGATCTAATGCACAGTATGGTGACTATAGTTAATAATACAGTGTAGCACACTTGAAAGTTGCTAAGAGAGTAGATCTTAAACATTTTCACCACACAAAAAAAATGGTAACTCTGTGAGGTGAAGGAGGTGTTAATCAACCTCATTGTGATAATCATTTTACGAAGTATACATATATCATTATCACATTGTATACTTTAAATATATACAATTTTATTTGTCAATTACCCCTAAATAAAGTTGGAAAAAAGAATGCGTTTCTTCCCCCACTAAATTGACTAGGATTTCACAGCAAAGTTTTGGGACAGTACAGGGGTCAAGAGCACAATCTTTGGAATCTGAAAGGCCTGGGCTTGAATTCCAGTTCCACTAGTGACATACAGTGAGAGCTTGACAGTTTTTTTCATCTCTCTGAATCCTAGTCCTTTTCTCTCAAAATGAAGACAAAAAAGTACCTTTTTTGTCATGGTTTATTGCTATGTATAAATGAGAGAATCCATATTATGCAGCAAACCTGGCACATGGTAAACACCATCAATAATGTGGGCTGGCACTCTCAGCTTTGGAAAGGGTCTCACAACATACAATAACCATTAGTCCTTCCTTTTCAGGATCTCCTGCTAATGATAATTCCCTAGGCTGTTGCCAGTGACATTTGAGCTCCTTGGAGCTCCAAGGAAGGAACCTTGTGGCTGTATTCTCCATAGGACCTAGCCCAGGGCTGAGCTAATAACGGTAATAATAACAGCAACAACAATAACAGCTCCTAACAAGAGTCTATCCCTGTCCATAGGGTTCTTACCTCAGGGGCGTGCCCTTCAAATCGGGGATTCTTGCAGCTGGGGTGATGATCATTCCACGTCTGGAAAGACTCTTCACACTTACGAGGATCACTCTCATGCATGCTCTCTTGTGTTTGGCCCCGAACAATTCCACTGAGACAGACAAAGAAGGACGGTTTGAGGCAAAAAACTATGCAAGGTCAGGAGCTGGGGCACGAGGATGGGGTTTGAGGACCTTACCCAATGCCGTGAAGCCCTAAGCCGATGAAGTAGATGACAAATAAATGGTGTGTATACCAGAAGACCTCAAAATAACTCCTCCGGATAAACTCCATAGCTGAAGTCACCATGAGAACCAGAGCTATTGTGATGATCACTCCAGTTAGACCAGCAATGGTGGTGAATGTCACATACTCCACTGTCTGTGAAAGGAGAAATTTCAGCCTGATACCACGTCCACCAAGGATACCATGCCCTTCTTGCTCATGCTCAGATCCCAGATGCTTGGCCATTGAGTAAACTCACCATGTCTGGGGAGTGGAAGGGATTTAGCCAATAATTCTCCTCTTTCTTATCATTATACAAGCTGGAAAGAACGGAAGCAATAGATCCATCTGTGGCCTTTCGGCTATTGCTGTATCGTTCAAAGTTAAACAGGTGTGCAATGATGTGAATAGCTAAATGGGAAAGATGCAAAAGAATGTGAAAGGTGTCTCGGGAACATCATGGCAAGCAGCCTTCCCCAGAAAAGGAGAATCCTATATATAGTGTCTAGCAGAATGCTGAGTCCACAGAAGGTGCCCAATGAACCTTGATTGCAGAGAGCTCTAAGATCTTTTATATATTCACTCTGTTCCCAAAGGAATACAATGTAAGTTCCATGAAAATAGGCCTAGAACAGTGCCTGGCAAATAGTGCCAATTATTCAATAAATATTTTTTGAATGTCTATATGCATGGATGAATGAAACTAGACTCTGAAGGCCCAGGAGCCTGCAGTTTTGTGGTTTGCCTCAGTTACCTGTGTGTAGGCAGATCATATATGCCACCAGCTTGTGGAAGGTGAGGTTGTGATCCAGTTGCTTTCTCAGGGTACTCCTGCAAAACTACAATGTAAAGTGATCAAGGTTAGGTGTCTCCAGGGAGCTTTATGAAATTCACTAACCCATAACCAACATGTCTTACACAGAGCGTGCCAATGCCACTCACACTTGCCCATCCCCTTGGCTGCCAAAGGAGACCTCTGGCTTCCATTCCTCAGGGCTTGGTGCTGGGCTGTCCTCCTGAGGAGGCAGGGCCCCTTGTCTTTATTGTGATAGTTGACCCACGAGTGGTTGGAACTCACTGAGCACGTGCCCCTCAGGAAGGACAGCAGATTTCGACACACAGGAATCAGGATCAGCATGCTGTTAAAATTCAGGCAGCGAGCAGAGGCTCGGGCCCAGGCCAGTGCCGACTAGAGCAGAGAAGAGAAGAGATCATCAGCTGCTGCATCTCACCATCTAGCAGCTAAGCACAGGCCCAGTCCACTTGTCCAAGACCCGGAAATGGGCAGGCTGCACTTCCTCCCCTCCCTCTCAGTAGCTAGCACAGTCAGTCCAGGCTCTCTGTTTGCAAACCACAGAAAATTCACTGAACTTAATATTGAATTAAGAAATTCCTGTGACGGATTGGAAATGTTTGACTATACATTTATCAATATGAAAGTGAACAGGATTTAATGATTCCATGTTAACAAATACATTCTATGGATGTACTACTTTGTAAGAATTATTTTTGCTTAATATGCTCAATTATGATTTTATTATTTGTCATTTGTAAAACAATCTTGAGGATCATATGTATTTTTATTTGCATTTTAAATAAAGCATATAAATTTAGAGGTATAATTACAGACGGTGACTATTTTTTCTCTTTTCTGTATTTTTAATGTTGCAATTATAAGCATGTAATAATCATGTAATAAAAACAATAAAACATGTAACTGCTTATAGTTAAGATGTCTTTAACAACTGAATAAAGTTTAGGTAAAATTAGTGAATCCCTCAGAGGAAAAATTTTAAACTTAGGTAGAGTTCTGAAAAGGGAGAACTTCCAAGAACAGAATTTCAAACTGATTTCCTTGGGTAACGAGGCAGCATACATCCAGATCAATCTGATTCAGCAGTAGAAACTGCTAGAAAAGGAGACAAGAAATCAGTGCTTCAAAGAAGTATTTGGCCCAGAAACAAGCTTGAGTATGTATAGGCTGGATGGAACATGCTCAACTCCACGTAAGTTCGACTTCTTTCTTCAACTGTACAACTGCTCTCTGAGTTGGCTCTACGTACTTGGGCCTGCAGACTATAGAGTGTGACAATCTCGCAGGAGCAGTAGCGGAGGTAGTGGCGGCAGCCACACAATTTTTTTTTTGCACTTGGCTGACTGGCCAGCCTTTCATGTGTGCCTGTCAGTGACTTGCTAAAAGGAAGAACATGTCTTGGAATTAACAATTTCTCGGCCTTTTTCTAACAATCTTTTCGGCACAAAAACTATTTTTCCACACGACCTAACCCCAGGACAACATGGCATTGGTTTAATAAGCCAGGTCAAGATCTGCCTAGCGTCCATAATGGCTGACGATGTCAGGCGGTGCAGTGAGCAAGAGCTGCCCCGCTGCTTTCCATTTCTGGTTCTTCCACATGACCTGCATTCTCTCTCTCTCCAGAGTCACGCTCCGACTGGTTTGGGTAGAGACAGCCTGTTCCATTTTGAAGTAAATTTTCTCTGCTCATCTCAAAGATCTTGCATTTCCACACTGGCTCCCACAGCTTGCTTATTTGAGTCACAGAGGTTTCTTCAAGCTAAAATTGGCAAGTGAGTTGAAAATGTAGGACTACAATGTCACAGCTCCATATTCTGTGGGGGCTATCTGTATGGGATGAATTCTTTTTAGAGCAAATCTTTTTCCCCCATTGCAGCACATTGAAATATCTCAACTTATGTTGATTTTTCAACAGCGACACTAACTGATGTCTAAGTCAACTGCTGCTGTCATTAATGCCTCATTGACTATGGATGTAAACTCCTTCCTCTGCTACTTATTTGCTCTGCTTCATAATAAATCAAATAATTCTTTGTATTTTCCTAGAGGAAGCATGAATTCAAGAAATACTCTACAGAATGATTCAATAAATTATGGCACCTCAACGCCATGGACTATTACGCTCTTCAAAGGATGAGGGCCACATGCAGTGGTGTAGGGGTGGTAAATGTTTAACAACCAGCTTCAGGGGAAGGCGGAGGTCTTGATTTCCAGCACTTGCCAATTTACATGACATAAATACTCCCACCAGGACAGATTTCAAGATACCAACTTGATGTCACTGAACACCACTGAAGGCAGAGTTGCAAAGAGATGCACACAACTGGCTATTGCAGGTTGGTATGAGCTGGTTTCAGCACATCGCAGTGACATACTCACATGGAAAGATATCTGAGATACATTAAGTGTAAGAAGCAATTTCCAGCCAGTATCTACAATGTGATCTCTTTTGGTTAAAACGAAAAAACTCTGTGTCCTACTGTATGTGTTATCAAAACTCATGAACAGTGCACCAAAAAAGAGCAAATTTTACTGTATACAGAAAATAAATAAGTGAATAAGAATAGTACCTATCTCAAAAACAACAACAAACCTGTATGTCTGGTGCATTTGTGAGTATGTCAGTGTGTCTATGTAGATACACACACCAAACTATTAACAATGTGTGGTTATCTCTGGGGAGTAGGATGGGAGGGCGTTTTCACGTTTTACTTCTAGATCGTCTGATCTCACTGAAAGCAGCATTATTTACAATTAATTTTTTTAATAGAGAGGATTTTTAAAAATAAAATGTCCACAGGATATTGGCATGATTCATTTTTCTGCTGCTTTTTGGTCATAAAGCTGTTCAGCTCTTAATAACTAGTCACATTTATTGCATCATTCTCTTAATAAAAAGCTATTTTTAAAACAAATTAACACTTCCTTTGGAGGTATAGTTTCCAAAGAAGGATCAAGGACCAGCATTTAAAATGGAAAACAGCAGGGTGAAATAAGCCATGGACAGAACATTCAAATTAGTCGTGATCTCAACATGGATCCTTTGACTATGGAAAGAAAAGAAGGACTTTTAAAAAGGTCAAGCTGTCTTTAAACATGTACATTGGGTGGGTCTTTGTGGAAACCTAACAAAAAAAAGGCACCGTCAAGGTGAAAGCGATTTAACCAAATACTGCACCTGTTACTGAATAACTGACTACAGGTGTGGAAAGCTAACCAAAAAGGGCACCGTCAAGATGAAAATGATTTAACCAAGTCCCACACCTGTTACTGAATAACTGACTACAGTTAGCAGTCAAATTTGTTTTTCAAATCAGATAGTGGCCAGATTAATGAGCCTGTAAAGAACTATTTTCTCATCTCCATGCTTCTTCCTGGTCACCTACCCACCGCCAACCCTTGCCCCTCTGTGCTTGATCTGCCACTTCCCCAGCCTTCTCCGTCTTGCTACTCTGACCTGACCCCACCTTTGTGCAGGCCCTGAGTTCTGCAGCACCACCCACTGTGTAGACCCCCCGCTAAGTATCCCTCTCATTTGATAGAGAGGTGTTGTCTGTAAGATCAGTCCACAGTGGTGATTTTCAAGTTGCTCATTTGTTTTTAACCAAACTCTTTCTTCCAATCACAAGCACGAGTCCCTAAGATGGGTAAAGGCTGCTTTGGTTGAAGTAGGGGCAGGAGCAGAGGCACTGCCCACTTAGCCTTCCCCTCACACCCTGCAGGGGCGCCTGAGTCTCCGTGGAAACCAGTTTGAAAATCACTGCTTAATAGTGTTCTTTATTGTGTGTTTTCATTCTTGGGTCCGGGGAGTACACCCCAGATAGTGCTGTCAGATTTAGTGAACAAAAATACAGGATGCGCAGCTAAATTTGAACTTCAGATTTTAAAAAGGAACAATTTTTTAGTATACCCATGTCCCATGCAATATTTGGAATACACTTATACCCAAAGAAGAATTTGTCGCCTTTCTGGAATTCAAGTTTCACTGGGTATCCTGTATTTTTTCTGGCAACCCTAGGCCAAGAGGAAATCAGGGCACTGGGTCTCAAAGGGGCCAGGGTCAGAGAGAAGGTAAAAACAGAGTTCCACACTCCACAACGGTGTACTCACCCCCAGGATTTTTCTTGTGTAGAAGTACTTGTCGGCCTTCTCATACAACAGGAAGGCATTCACAAACAGGAAGACATTCAGCCCCAACCAAACAGCCTAGAGGAAGAAAAAACAAGCAAAGAGTAAAGAGAAATTTGAGTATGAGAAGAAGTAGACGAGGGATAGGAAAGAGTGTCACCATTTTGGCTATTTTACGTTTATCTGTTCTCGTTTTAAATGAGTACAAGCTTGTTGGTATCTAACTTACTTTCAGAGTGAGTTAGCACTTCAAGACGCGCATTAGCCGCCAACAAGCAGGGTCAGCAAATCAAGGCCCATGGCCAAATCCAGATCACCACCTGTTTAGTACAGCCTACAAGCTAAGAATGGTTTTCACATGTTTTTGTTTTCACATTTTTAAATGGTTGGAAATAATCAAAAGAAGAATAAAATTTCATGACGTGTGAAAATTGAATGAAATTCGAACCTCAGTGTCCATAAATAAAGTGGTACTGGAACTTAGCCATGCCTACTTATCTCTGTATTGTTTATGGCTGCTTTCATGAGTCAATGGAAGTGTTGAGTAGTTGTGACAGAGACCATACGGCCTGCAAAGCCTAAAATAAGTACTACCTAGCCCTTTACAGAAAACATTTGCCAACTTCTGGACTAGAGCATTCAAACCAATTCACCTAAAAGACGGCAGTAAGTGAATAAATGGATTTCTAAAGAAACGAAGAATAAATTTAACATCTATAACGATACCCATCTGAAAAGAACTAAACCATTCCAGATGGGCCTGCCTCTTTAATTACACCCTGACACACATTTTCCTGTTTTTAGATTGTGAGAGTTTTGGCAAATTAACCTATCATTGCTTTGGACTAATTTGAGCTCTTAAGACTGCTTTTGTCTATCCTAGGCTCTATCTCTGTACCGGCAAGGGGGGAAATTTGGAACCTACTGCCCATTGCCTTGGAGACCAACCAAATGGACTCTAGCCAAGCTTGGAGTTGCTAGTCTGTAACTGAGCAGGACTCTAGGGCCCTGGGATGCCTCCAATATATATCCTTGGCCCCAGGATGGATCAGAACCATCTCAGCCCCACGGGTAGAGGACCCTAAGCCTAGAATGGCCCATTCAGATTCCCCAGATCTGGACCCTTCACACCTCTAGCAGCATGGCATAGGGATTTCAAGTGTGATAGTGGAGTCAAACTCCTTGGGCTCCAAGTCTAGCTCCACCAGTTTCTAGCCCTGTAATCTTAGACAGACATGTGATTTAACTTCTCTGACCCTCAATTTCTTCACCTGTAAAATGAGGATAATAACAATATCTACCTCACAGCAATGCTGTGAGGTTTACATGAAATAACACATGTGAAGTGAATAATACAATGCTTGGTGCATAGGAAGGGCTTAAAAAATGCTGGCTATAGAGTTGCATCATTAGCACACTGGATTTACCAATCATTTTCTTCCTGAATCCTTTGCTCAGACACCCTTTCCGGAGTTGAGTGTCTTCCAGAGATTCTTTGATCCTAATGGAAAAAGAGAGATGAAAGCCACAGATCCTCAAGATTCAGAAGACAGAGGAGAGAAGTTTATTTAGAGGGAGCAGAAATATTTCAGGATCCGAGAGGGACACAGACACAAAGAACTCTGTGTCAGCTCATCCTCAATTGTTGGCAAGGTGCATGATGACATATAGTGACATCTGGGATTAGGGAATTCCATTTCCCACCTTGACTATCATTTCCTCCACTGTGAAAGGAAAAGAAAGTGGAGTTGACGACCTGGCAGAAAAGAGGAGTAAAATTATTTTTTGAGTAATTTATTTTTCATTTAAAAACTTAGTGCGTAGGAGTATATGTCAGAGATAGCAAGAAGTTGGAGCCTGCCAGCAGGATTGGTGGAGGATGGAAGTTCAAAGCTAGATAGTTAAATGTGGAACCACCACCATGGGCAATGAACTCTTCAAGCAAAAAATAAGAGAGGGATAAAAAGCGCATAGGATTTTAAAGCTAGAAATATCCCCATATTTGTATCTAGTCACTTCATTAATCCCCTCCGCACACATACACACACAGATGACTTAAAGTCTAGAAAGGATAAATAATTTGATTAAAGTCACTCAATTAATAGCAGAACTGAAACTAATTCCCAGGTTCCCTGTCTCCTTCACCAGCACAAAGGAATTAAATATAGGGCGTTGCATGTTGAAAACATAAGTCATAGGATAACCTGCCAAAATAAGCATGTGGCCTTTGACTAAATGCAAAACAGACAACCCTCCAGGGGAACATGATTGCTCTGGACACCTTTTTCCCTGGAGCACCTGGGTAGTCCTATGGGACCCAAAGAAAACAAAGGAGGAAAGAGAGAAGCCCAGAAGGAATAATGACATGAAGATCTAGGAAAGCGATGAGGGAGGGACACAGGGAGTCCCAGGCTCAGGGGTGGGTCAGAAATGGAAGAATGAAGTAGGGAAAGGTGTGTGTTAGGAGGAACGGATTGTGCACACGTGATGTGTAAAGGAGTTCTGGCCTGAGCACTGGAGAGCTGGGTTCTGCAATCAATTCACTGTGTGACATCCGGGTCTTATTTTCCCTTGTAAAATCAAGGAGCTGGTTTCCATCTGCACCATGCAATGCTGTAGCTGCTACCACCTGCGGCTACTGAGCACTTGAAATGGGGCTAGTCCTGACTGAGATGTGCTTTAAGTATAAATTACACTTCAGATTTCAAAGACTAGGAAAAATAAAAGACTACAAATTAGCTCATTAATATTTTCAATATTAACATTTTTTATATATTGGGTTAAACAAAATATACTACTAGAAATTAAATTCACCTATTTCTTTTTACCTTTCTCAATGTAACTATTAGAAAATTCAAAAATTTCATATGTGGCTCACATTGTATTTCTAGTGGACAGCCCTGGATCAGATGATCTTTAAGGTCACTTTTATCTCAAACATTCAGTGATTTTATGCAATCTTGATGTGAGCACTATAGGAAGGATGAAGAGAAATGACTGCTGTATGGCAGTAGTTAGAAGTGATGGAAGAGAAGACAGAAAATGAAAACTGCTTGAAATTCCAATTACTTGTGGCTTGATAACATGAACAATTGCAGATTGTCTCTTTACCAATTAATTTCTAGAGTTGGATTTTTTCCTTTTCTGAAATGGTGAAATATATCAAACAAAGAAGAACATATAAAACATACATACATAATTCTAGAGTTTGACTTTTTAACTAACTGGCCTTGATAAGCCTAATATTGGCATGGAATCTTTCCCTTTCAAAAAGCTTTACAAATATTAACAAACATGATCTCTCCTTACTTTGCTAAGAGTAATTAACAGCAAATGAAACACTGCCTACCAGAATCAAACCTGAGATCCCGTGGTTAATTATCCAGTTTCCCATTGTCAAGAGGTGACTTGGAATCTTTCTAGGCAGCAGGGAAGATTCAGCAACCTGGATTCTGGAGAAGTTCTTCAGGGTTGGGACTTTTCTCCAGCTTAGTGTCTGTGAGTCTTTAAGATGTGAAAGAGGCACATCTACTCACACAGCCTCCAGGAATGAATAAGTGCATGTTGCCTTCCTTCTCTGGACTATAGCTTAGGTAGACCAGCCCTACCTATGAGAGCCACAGGGGTTTTCCCTGGTGGGGTTTATGTTCCTTCATGAAATAGAAGTCTTCTTGGTTGAGAACATTCTCTCATCATCTTATCAACATGACCTAATATGAGGAATTGCCTTCCTTGATGTGACATTTGCTATGGTTTCTCGCAACAACAGTAGGCTAGTGCTGTAAAAAGATGACCTCGGGAGAAGTAGGGCAGAGAGTAAGCACGTTAAGGAAGTTGCTTTAAGGTAGGCTCTCAGAAGAGCTGCTGTATCTGCCAGCTGCTATTTGGACTTCAGTATCTGGAAGATGATCAGTATCCTGGAGGATGAGCTGGCTCTGGGGAGAGCTTGACCAGCTGGGAGGACAAGTGAAAAGAATGGCCAAGTAGAATAAGAGAAACTTTAACAGATATAAATGTACACCTCAGTTCAAAAACAGAGTCAGGGGCCAGCCTGGTGGCAGAGTGGTTAAGTTCACGTGCTCCGCTTTGGCCGCCTAGGTTTGACAGGCCCAGATCCCAGGCACAGACCTAGCATTGCTCGTCAAGCCACGCTGTGGTGGCATCCCACGTAAAATAGAGGAAGGTTGGCACAGATGTTAGCTCAGGGCTAATCTTCCTTACAAAAGAAAAAAAAAAAACAGAGTCAGAATACTCAAAACAAGGGAGGTGATTATCTCTTAGTATAATATTAGTATAATAGATTAGCTAGAGTTGTGTAACCAGTTCTGGGCACTATTTTTTTCCTTCTTTAAAATGGTAAAATACATCACACACAGAAGGTATATAAAACATATATATGTAATTTAAAGAATAACTTTAAGGAATGAATATCTATGTACTCACTCCCTAGGTTAGAAAAAACAGAACTTTTCTCTCCAGTATCTTAAGCCCTGATCACGTCCCTCTTCTTCCCCTCTCCCTCCCCCAGCCGGTGCAACCACCAACCACCATCCTG